CACACACATGAATTTCTAACCACACACATGCATACACACACACACACACACGGGCCTCTAACCTCACACACACATACACACAGAGCTCTAACCTCAAACACGCAGGTCTCTAACCTCACACACACAGGTCGCTAATCACGTACGCGCGCATTTGCGCGCACGTGTGCACACACACACACATACACACACACGGGTCTCTAACCACACACAGTTCTCTAATCTCACACACATGAATCTCTAACCACACACACGCATATATATACATACATACACACACACACGGGCCTCTAACCTCACACGTCCACATATACACATATATACACATTGATTTCCAATCACACATATACACACACACACACACACACACGGGTCTCTATCCTCACACACATGGGTCTCTAACCACACACACCCCACGGGGCTCTAACCTCACACTCAGGTCTAACCTCATTCATGTGGGCCTCTGACCTGACATGTGATGCCCTCTCCTTACCCAGGAGGCCTTGACCTTCAGGTGGACTCCCAGTTTGGCAGGTGAGTCCCTAACCTCATAGACTTTGGAAGTTTTCTATCTCATTCGAGTTAGACAATTTTTGTTTTGAGAATGAAAAAACAAAGTTGTGTTTTGTAAAACATGAAACGTGCTCATGCATGCACAGAGCAGGGGGGAAGGGAGCAGAGTCCCCTCACCCTGCCCCCCCGCCCCACCCCCTCACCCTGTCCCCCACCCCGCCCTGCCTGCCCCGAGTACAGCCAGGTGGGCATGGGCTTCAGGGTGCTGTGTCCACCCTGAGCAGCCGCTGCCGCTCACTGGAATGCCTGTGGCCAGAGCCACCTGCAGACATGGGCCCTGGCTGGGCCTTGTGAGTAGCCAGACCCCAAGGCACACCCCTTGAGCTGTGCAGGGACAGTTGGAGGGTGCAGGCCGGGCTCAGGCCATGCCCTACAGTCATGGCTTCCTGTGTCCTAGACGCACCCCAGGCCACCCGCTGCAGAGAGCCGGGCCCGCTGGCCTGTGCCCACTGCCCCAGCCCCAGAGACCTGTGCTCGCCTGGCAAGTGACTCAGGACATGAGCACCGTAGGCAGAGCACCCCCCCGGAACCCGCTCGGTGCCTCTTTGTGTCTGCAATGGGGGAAGTCTCGGAAACAGCAGGTGTGTGAGCAATGCAGCACCCACAGGTGTGGCGGCTCCCTTTGGGCAGGGGCCCTGCCAGGACAGAGGGAGGGGCCGGGCAGCTGGCCCATGGCAGGGGCATCTGGGAGTTCCCTAAGGTGATACTGCAGCCCCGTGCTGGTCACCAGGCGCCCAAGTGCCACTGCAGGTCTGCTGGGCTCCTCTGACCACAGGGACACAGACACAAGGGCCCCAGAGCCCCCTGCACACAGAAATCAGAGCCCAGCCACACGCAGGAGTGCACACACACACACACACACGCAGCCACACACACACGCAGCCACACACACACGCAGGCACACACACATGCAGCCACACATACACGTGCAGCCACACACACGCAGACATACACACATGCAGCCACAAACATGCAGCCACACACACGCACATATGCAGCCACACACACGCACACGGCCACACACGCAGGCGCACACACATAGCCACACACACGCAAGCACACACACATGCAGCCACACGCACACATGAAGCCACACACACACGCGCAGCCACACATACACATGGAGACACAGACACGAAGACATACACACGTAGGCACACACACATGTGCAGCCACACACACATGCAGCCACACACACACACAGATAGACACACACGCAGGCACACACACATAGCCACACACACACAGCCACACATGTAGGTGCACACATACATGCAGCCACATGCACACACATGAATGCACATGCAAATCACACATGCATATGCATAATATTCACACATGTGCAAAAGCACACACAAATACATAGACGGCACATGCACACACAAGGCACACATACACACGTGTATACACATGCACACACCCACATGCATGCACGCAGGGAGATGAAGGCCCCTTGAGTAGGGCTGACCTTTCTTCGCTGGTGGCCGACAGTGCCTGAAGCCCAAGGCCTGCCAGGACATGGCGGACACAGGGATGCCCTGGACTGGGCCCCAGCACTGCCTGGACGTGTCACGGGTCCTGAGCTGGGAAGGACGCAGCCAGCTCCTCCTGGGGGGGGGAGGATCTGCCCCCCTGATACCCCCTGTGCCTCTCTGCAGGGGGCAGCTCGGGCCTCCCCCTGCGAAGAACCCCCCAGCTGTGTGGAGCAGCCCTGTGAGCCCCACAGGGTCCCTTTTAATACCCCCGTGGATGGCAGGGCCCCGGAAATCTGGGGGCCACCATGTGGTCTGCCCTGTGACCCCCCCAGGAGGCAGAGAGTCACTGCTGACAGGCTGGGCCCCCACACCGTGCTGAGCACGGAACATGTGTGGCAGGTGGGCAGGGAGGAGCCCTGGGCCACATGCCAGCCTGGAGCAGCGTCACCTGCACTCCAGACCCCTCCCTGCTGTGCTTGCCAGGGGCCGCGGGCAGGAGGCGGTGCCGTACCCCGCTGGCAGCTGGCCGGCCCCTGGCCAGGGCTGGTGGCGCGCAGCCAGAGCTCAGCGCCAGGGCCCACGTGCAGCCTTCCTGCCCCAGGACTGCCCCAGGACTGGCACCCTTGCTCCAGGCCTGTGCAGGTAGGGGCGGGGAGTGGCAGCAGGACTCAGGTCTGTCCTCTGGCCGGCCGAGGTGGCTGCGGGTGCCCCAGCAGCTGGGGAGGAGGGGACCGCCTCCGTGTCTGTGGACTCTGCTCTCTGGTGCCGAGATGCCAGCGGCATCACCTGTGGCTGCCCCCCTGCCTGCTGCCCGCCGAGACGGGGACAGCTCCCACCCAGGGCACAGCTGGCAGAGAGGGCAGGGCGGGTGGGGGGTCCTCACTGAGGGAGCATCGGGCACTCTGACTTCATTTGTCAAAAATTTAAGCTGGAGCGGGGGGTCCTTGGGCCAAACCTGCAGTGCTCAGGGCTGAGTCCTGGCTTTGCTTAGGGTCACTCCTGGTAGGGCTGGGGGACCTCAGGCCATGCCCGGGATCATCCCAGGTTGGCCACGGGCAAGGCCAGTACCTAACCCCTGTATCTTGGTTCTGTGCCCGGCCCAGCCTTCAAGGGGGAAACTGAGGCTCAGAGAGTGAGGTGGGGGTGGAGGAGACGAGCCTACGCCCCACCCATCTGTCACTGCGTTGGGCTGGCTGCTCGGGCGGGGCAGGAGCATGGGGTGCCCCTGCCGCGCAGGCCCCTGGAGCCCGTCAGTCTCAGGAGCCTGTCAGTCTCGTTACCGGCCCCTCTGTGGCCTCCATGCCTGGGACACTGGCGGGCACGCTGCGTTTGCAGGTCAGCCGGCAGGCGTGGGCCGAGGGGATGTGTCCAGGAGCCAGGATGTTGCCCAGCTGCCTCGGACACCAGCCCCCAGCATTTTCTTTATTGGGGAAGGCCCACCAGCTGGAGGCCAGCGCAGACTTGCCCACGTGCCCCTGCCAAGTGCTCCTGGAGTTCGGCTGGGCCATCTCTGGGGTCTAGGGGTCTAGCTCGGGCACCTCCAACACTATCCACCCCCCCAGCCCAGGTGTTATCCAGCCTGGGCACCCGAGTTCGACCTGGACTCACCTTTTCCTGCCCACCCCCACGTTCATTCAGTGACCCCATAGGAGGACCAGAAGCTTGAGACAGATCCCCTACACAGTGGGGCGACCTGTTTCCTGGGATGGTGCTCTGGGTGCCGGCAGTGGCTGGGACTGCTCAGTCCCCTCTGGGCAAGGGGTGGACGAGCCTGCGGGCTGCTGCCTCCCACGTTCCAGGACACACAAAGGCCGTGGGCACACTACCTGGGGCCCTTTGGGATGAGCAGCCGAGCAGGCCCAGGGCATGGTCCTTAGGGGCATCTAGCGTGGTGGCCAGAGATGCCTCGTGGGTGGGGGTGCATGCCATTCCCCAGGGCCACGGTGAAGTGGGGAGTCCTGTTGGGGGGTGCCTGGGTGAGCACGCGCCCACCCCTGCTGCCCCTCCTGCCTACAACTCTTAGAAAAGAGACAAGCCCAAAAAGTGGGTTTCTGGGACCCCACCCGCTGGCAGGCCCAGAGCAGCTGCCTGAGGCCTGGGGACTACCCCAGCTGCAGCCCGCTGGAGCGAGCTCCCCCTCCCTCTCCACCCAGAGTGGGAAGCTGGGTGAGGGGAGCGCAGAGGCGCGGTGACATCTCAGAGCGGCAGAGGGGTGCCTGGGTCTCTGTGTCCAGCAAGGGGCAGGTGAGAGGTAGGGTTCCCGGGCGGCGCGGCATTCTGAGAGAGGCGGCACAGTGCGTGCTGGGACCGGCTCGCTGGAAGGGGAGGAAGTGGCGGAGCGCAGGGCATGAGACCGGGGCGTGGGGGCGCGGGGGGCGCCGGGCGTGTGCCACGGCGGTAGCAGGTCTTCAGCCACGCAACGAGGCGTCTGTACACCAACGGGAAGTCCGGGTCGGGGCAGGAAGCCGGTGGGCCCGGTGGCCAGGGGAACGTCCAGGCAGGGGCCGGAGAAGCCAACCCTGCGTCCCGCGAGTGGGCAGCCGGAGCTGGACCGTCACTCGTGGCGGTGGGATCCGAGTGCACGGTGCCGGGAGGTTCCGAGCGTGCAGCGGGCCCACTGGCCTCCCAGGGCTAGCCCGGTCGCCCTCTGGGCCCAGCCGGCGTTCGGGGCCCGGCCGGCGCAGCGAATCCCCGGAGCCCGCGGGGCTGCAGAGTCCCGGTCCAGTCCGCAGTCCCGGAGCCCCAGCGTCCGCGATCCAGGCTGGGGTCCCCGCAGCGCGCGGCCACCGCGTCTCTCATTGGTCAGACACCGGCACACACCCCGCCCTACCCCCGGCCGGCCGCTCATTGGCTGGCGGGTGCGCCCGTTCGGCCCCCCGGTGGGCGGGCCCGACGAGCCGCAGGTCACTTCCGGCGTTGCGGTGGGCGGAAGCGTGTGTGGCGCGCAGGCGGGGCGTGGTGACCGTCGCCTGGCGGCGCTTCCGGGTGCGGCGGCGACTGCGAGCGGGGCGGGGGCGGTGGGGCGGCCGCGGGGCCTGCGGGGTCAGCGGCGCCGCCTCGTCCAGGCAGCCCTCCGGCGCGCGCCATGGCGGCGGCCGGCGCATCGCACTGGGGCCTGATCACCAACATCGTGAACAGCATCGTCGGGGTCAGCGTGCTGACCATGCCCTTCTGCTTCAAGCAGGTGCGCGGGGTCTCCGCAGGGTCGCGGCGAGGCTGCGGGGTCGGCCCGGGTGCAAGGCGCGGGAGGGGCCAGGGTGGCCCCTGGGGGCGGGTTGCGGGGCCTGCGACGGGGCAGTGCCGCTCCTGCCACAGCTGTCCGCGCCCCCCCGGAGGCACCGCCACGTCCCGCGCTGACGCATCCTGGGAGGTGCAGCCGCGGCTGGACACCCCGGGCAGCGCGGGACAGCCCGCGTCAGGCCCACCTGGCGCCGACCACGACCCTGCGGACCCCGCCAGGCCGGGCCAGGGACCTGGGCGGGAATGGGGTTCACGGGGTGCGGGCATTTGAAGGGGGGCATCCGCCTGGCACGCGGCTGACCCGGTTCCGTCCCCAGCATCCCATATGGCCCCCGGGCACCGCCAGCAGTAACCCCTGAGCACCACCCCGGGTGAGAGCCAAGAAGGAAGTTGTGGGGGGGCCGGAGTGGTCGCGCCGCCCGCAGTTGGCACGGTTCCCTCCCCGCATGGTGGGAAACTGCTGGTGCCCCATCCCACCAGGATTGCGTCCCGAGCACCGGCTCTGAGAACGCAAAGGAAAGTTCAATTGCTTTCTCTGGGTTATTGGTAAAAAGTGCTTGGCAAGGGCGTGCGAGGCCACCCCGGCTGCGTGGCGCAACCCCCCCCTTCCCCACCGGCCCCCAACACGGTGCTGGGTGCACACCCGGCACCTGCACACACGTGGCGTGGACTCAGGGGGGCAGGGTTGCTATCCCAGGGCAGACGATGCGTGTGCAGAGACAGAAGGATGAGCACAGAGCTGGAGCCTGGGACCACCTGCTCCCCCGTCAGTCGGGGAGCGCCAGCTCACATGCACACGTGTGCCTGTGGCTGTGCTCTCCTCCACTCGGCGGGTGTTTCCTGGCGGGAGCACAGCCTGGCCCCCTTCTCTGGGCAGACACGGTCCACTCTGGTCACTAGCAGTTTCCCACCGCTGTCCCCACGCCCTGTGCCTCCAGGTGGTACCTGCTCTGAGCAGTGTCCTGGGCGGAGTGCTCATCCTCAGCCTGGGGCCTGGCATCCGCTGGGGTCCCATAGGCACCAAGATGTGGCTGGGCGCCGGCCCAGCCAGCGGGACGCCCACCCCCCCCCGTCCTCCCATGTACCGGAGGGGTACACGCGCACACACGTACAATGACATAGATGTGTGCATGCACAACTACAGACTCCCAGATGTGTGCACGTGCACGTGCACACACATGGGCACACGTGGGCTTTCTGCCCCAGTGTGTGCAGTGCTGGGCGCGGTGTGACAGTGGCCGCTGTGTCCTCCTCAGTGCGGGATCGTCCTGGGCGCGCTGCTCCTGCTCCTGTGCTCCTGGATGACCCACCAGTCCTGCATGTTCCTGGCCAAAGCCGCCACCCTGAGCAAGCGCAGGACCTACGCCGGCCTGGGTGAGTGGGCGCACTGACCATTGACTCTCCTCTCCGGCCCTGTCCAGAGACTCAGCAGCCTCTTTCTCTGTTTTGAGGTTCACACACTGGATAGGACAGTGGGGAGGTCCCGCCCTGCACGTGGCCAACCCGGGTTCCATCCCCAGCACCCCATAGGCTCCCTGAGCCTCCCGCAGGCGTGATCCCTGAGCACAGAGCCAGGAGTCAGCCCGGACCACTGCTGGGTGTGGCCCAAACAAATACAGGTTCACACTGAGGCGTGTCCTGTGGTCAGGCCATTTGCGTGTCCCTGCGAGCTCGTGGTACTGTCCCCCTTCCCACCCCCAGCTCAGCGCCCAGCCTGTTCCCTCTCCCGGCTTCCCCTGTGTGCTCGGCTGTGGGACTCGGGAACGCTTGAGAGGGCCTCTGGAGGCGGGTGTCTTGGGCCAGCCCGGTGTGGGCAGGGACACAGACACACACGCCCGTGGGTGCAGGCCCTGTGGCTTGAGCGTACATGCGCAGCTCCATGGCCGTGACCCGCACATCTTCCCGCTGTCCTCCTGCGGTGCCCTGACCCCCTTCTCCCCGCAGCGCTGCACGCCTACGGCCGGGCTGGGAAGATGCTGGTGGAAACCAGGTAGGAGCAGCCGGCCCGGGCACGTCCCAGGCTCCGGGGGCGGGCAGCGGGACGTGGGGTGTGGTGCGGCTGCCACGGGTTCCAGTGCCCGTAGGCACGCCTGACAAGCCTCCCCGCAGCATGATCGGGCTCATGCTGGGCACCTGCATCGCCTTCTACGTGGTCATCGGCGACCTGGGCGGCAGCTTCCTGGCCCGGCTCTGTGGAATCCAGGTGAGGCGCTGCCCAAGTAGCAGAGACGGGCCTGGGGAGACCCACAGACCGCGGCATTGATGGGCATGTCCCCAGGTGACGGGCGGCGTGCGGGTGCTGCTGCTGTTCGCGGTGTCGCTGGGCGTGGTGCTCCCTCTGAGCCTGCAGCGGAACCTGCTGGGGTCCATCCAGTCCTTCAGTGCCATGGCGCTGGCCTTCTACACTGTCTTCATGCTGGTGGTGAGTGCGGGGCGGCCCTGCTCTCGGCTCAGCTGCTGCCCGTGCGGGTCAGGGCGCCCTGCCCGTGGCTCAGCTGCACCACGTCCCTGCAGATCGTGCTGTCCTCTCTCAAGCATGGCCTCTTCGGGGGACAGTGGCTGCGGCAGGTCGGCTACTTCCGCTGGGAGGGCGTCTTCCGCTGCGTGCCCATCTTCGGCATGTCCTTCGCCTGCCAGTCGTGAGTTCTGCCCCGGCGGCGGCCTGCGGGGATGGCGCCAGCTGGATGGTCTTATTCTCACCCTGGGTGGTCTCGAGTGGGAATGTTTTGGTTTGTTTTTGGACTGCTTTGATGGTGCTCGGGGCTTGCTCCTGGCCGTGCTCGGGACTTGCTCCTGGCTCCTGGCTCCTGACTGTGCTCAGGGCTTGCCCCTGCTCCAGGCCGTTCTTGGGGCTCACTTCTGACTCCTTGACGTGCTCGGGACTTGCTCCTGGCTCCTGGCTGTGCCTCAGGGACCATATGGGGCGCCAGGGATGAAATCTGGGTCGGCTGCCACATGTAGGCATGTATGTACTCTCTCCGGTCCCTCCCTCAAGATGCTTTGAGCAGGAGAAGGGGCTGTTCTGGGCTGCATGGCTGGCCCCCACTGCCCCAGGCGCCCTGAGAGTGGCCAGGGGACTCTTCCCCGCCAGGCCCTGGCCTGAGCCTGTCAGGCTGGAGCTGTTTTTGAGAAGGCTCAGCAGAGCCGGCAGCCACTGGCCTGCGCCCTGTGCATGGCTCTCGGGTGTGCACATGTGTATTCTTGGTGTGTGCATGTGCCCCTGCGTGTGGCCGTGAGCTCTGTGCACGTGTCTGGTCCCGCCCGCCCGGGTGGGCCTGTGCTGGGCACAGCCTCCCAGCAAGGTGGGTGCTCACCTTGCAGGCCCCCGAGCCTCCCCCGGAGTGATCCCTGAGCACAGAGCCAGGAGTCAGCCCAGAGCACCAGCAGGTGTGGGCCCAAAATTGAACCAAGACAAAAATAAGTAACGAGGGTGGCTGGGGTGCTCAGGGGGCATCTGGGTGCTGTGCCTGGGGCCCCGTCCAGCCCCACTATGCGTGGCCCTAAAATCCCAAACCAGAAGCCTCTCTGGACCCCCACCCACCTGCCCACGCCCTCGGCACTACCTGGAGGCTGCGGGGTGACTCGATGGGCTTCCCCCTCTGCACTGGGGGGTGGGCAGGTCCCCCACTCGCGGCTACTTGGAGGGGGCGGGTGCTGCCCATCCCAGACCCACTGCCCCACGCCAGCCCCCCTCAGCCGCTCCCCCTGCAGCCAGGTGCTGCCCACCTACGACAGCCTGGATGAGCCGTCGGTGAAGACGCTGAGCTCCATCTTCGCCTCCTCCCTCCATGTGGTCACTGCTTTCTATGTGACGGTAGGACTGAGTGCCCGCCAGGGGCACATCCACGCCCGTTTCCGTGCCGGCCCGAGGTGGGCCTTGCGGGTGGGTGCCCGCCCTCCCCACGGCCCTCCCTTCCCAGGTGGGCTTCTTCGGCTACGTGAGCTTCACAGAGGCCATCGCGGGCAATGTGCTCATGCACTTCCCGTCCAACCTGGTGACCGAGATGATCCGTGTGGGCTTCGCCATGTCTGTGGCCGTGGGCTTCCCCATGATGATCCTGCCCTGCCGCCAGGCCCTCAACACGCTGCTGTTCGAGCAGCAGGTATGCCTGAGTGGGGTTCGGGAAGGTTGCCAGCCCGCGTGCCCCAGAATGCAGAGGTTGAGGCCCTGGGGCCGCAGGGGCACTTGCCAAGTGCATCCCACCTAGCTTTGGTCCTGAGAGCGCATCTGTTTCCTGAATCCACCAGGAGTGACCTGGTCACCGCCCGTGACCCTAACCCCCAAGATGCAGAGTGGGGGAAGCAGAGGGCAAGCCCCTCGAAGCACGGGCCCAGATGGGGGTCGCCCATGCCGATGAGGGGCTGAGGCAGGTTCCTGCAGCCTTGTCTCTGCCCGCAGCAGAGAGACGGCACCTTCGCGGCTGGGGGCTACCTGCCGCCCCTGCGCTTCAAGGCGCTCACCCTGTCCATCGTCTTCGGCACCATGGTGGGCGGCATCCTCATCCCGAACGGTAAGGGCTTCAGCGCCAGAACCCGCCTACAGCTCCCGCCTCACACCCCTCACGTGGCTCCTGGCTGTGGCCACGTCCCATGGGGGCAGTGGGAGGCCTGAGCCGGCCCCATCACGCGGCTGACCTGGGGGGCTCCTCCCTGCGGGAGCAGGGGGGACATGGGCGAGGCCTAGCGCGTGGCTCTGTCTGCAGTGGAGACCATCCTGGGCCTGACGGGTGCCACCACCGGGAGCCTCATCTGCTTCATCTGCCCAGCCCTCATCTATCGGAAGGTGCACCGGGGCGCCCTGTCCTCCCAGGTGGGTGCTGGGAGGAACGGGACCAGCGTCCCCCATGGGGGCTCTGGCAGTCAGGACATGGGGGCGTGGGCAGGGGCCCTCAGGCCGCCAGTGTGGCGTGTAGCTGTGAGGTGCTGCGACTCCTTGCGTCCCCACGTGGCCTCCCGACAGTTTCCAGTCAAGCCTGTCAGCTTTGCCCCGGGTCCCCGCAGGGCTCCCCGGGGGGAAGCTGCCCTTCCTCTGTGCGGGCCGAACAGGGCAGGGTGTGCTCCGGACCGTGGGGTTGGGGTCGCTGCCCTTACCACGTGCCGCCGCACTTTGGCACTGGCAGCACCACCCAAGTCCACCACACTGTCCCCAGGGCCCGCCCAGGGCATGGGGTGTGGCCCTTGGCCACTTAGACTCGCCTGGGCACCCCGCCCATCACTGACTGCACTGGTGGCTGCCCGCGTGCCGGCACCATCCCTGGGCCCTCCCCTGCTGCTGTGGCTGCTCCTGCAGGCCAGGTGGCTGCCCAGGGGCGGTGGCTGGGCAAGGGGTGGGTCGGCCTACCTGCCTGCAGGGTCCTCTGTCCCACAGGTGGTACTGTGGGTCGGCCTGGGCATCTTGCTGGTCAGCACACACAGCACGCTGTTTGTGAGCGAGGACGCCACTGTGGACGCAGCCCTGGGCGGCCCGGGTGGTCAGCGTGCTGAGGTGGAGGCCGTGGCGGGGGAGGCTGCCCAGCTCTCAGGTACACTTGGGGCGCCCCGCGCTGCCCCTTTGATGGCCACCGGAGGCCGTGGGGGCAGACATGTTGGTTCTGTGGTCCGCACGCCCCTTGGCCCTGTGTCCCCAAGTGCGGGCAGTGCAGAGAGGGGTGCTGCTCTCCGAGGCTGCCTGCGTCCTCACTGCTCTCTGCTGAGGGGTCTGAGGCCACTGGCTCCCACTGACCAGCTGCTTGTTCTCCCGGCTGCTGTCGCCGCGGCCCTGCCCAAGCCCCTGCCCCTGCCCTGTCCGGCACTGAGGGGGTCGGGACCATGGCCGAGTGCCCTCACTTGTCCCTGAAGCTTCCTGCGTCTTCATGGGCTGGCTCGGGTGTTTGCTGCCCCCTGCTGGCCATGCCGCGGTGTTGTCCACCCTGTGGACGCCTTGTCACAGATGCGGTCCTGGGCCCTGTGGCTCTGGGGATGGCCAGGAGAGAAGTCCCTGCCCAGGCCATCTTGCCAGCTAGGAACGTGGCCCTGGATGGGTGCCTGTGCAGAAAGTGCTGGAAAGGCTGTGTGTTGCAGGCCCCAATGCCGTTGTGGACGGTGCCCAGGACGGCCGCGCCCGGCCAAAGCTGCCTGAGAAGCAGGAGCAGGAGCAGGCCCAGATCCGGGGTCCTGAGGATGTGCCCCCTGGAGAAGGCGCCAAGGAGAAGCAGGAGGCCCAGCTGGACCGTCCGGGCCAAGGTGGGGTGCATGGCCTGGGGTCCCGCTCTGCCCTGGGCTGACGGCAGGGGGGTGGGTGGGCCGGCCCGGCCACATTCCCCACCAAGTGTACACCCTCTCCCCACAGGTGTGGCGGCCCCTGTGGGTGAGGCCCACCGCCACGAGCCGCCTGTCCCGCATGACAAGGTGCTGGTAGACGAGGGCCGGGACCAAGAGGGGGCCAGGGAGGACAAAGGCCCCCCCAAGCAGGAGCAGAAGAGGCCGGACGCAGAGGCCCAGGGGGCCCCCCCGCTGCCCGATTCAGAGAGGGGGCCACCTGGGCCAGGCCAGGCCCTGGGGGCAGACCCCCCAAAGGCTCCTCAGGCCCACGGTCAGCCAGCCAGAGAGCCCCTGAAGGACAGGGCCCAGGCAGCACCTTCTGAGGGACACGCGGATGGGGGCGCCCTGCAGCCGGGCCCTGCGCCCAGGAGTGAACCTGGTGGGTGCGGTGAGGGGGGCGGGGATCGCTCGCCGTTTGGTGCCCGGCGGGTGCAGCTGCCCCTGCCTGCCCAGCTCAGGAGCTCATCCTTTTGTATGCAGGTGCCCAGGCACCTCTGGCTGGGGCCGCCCAGGAGAAGCCAGCCCCGGGAGCCCCGGGAGCACAGGCAGGGGCGCAGGGCGTGGAGCACACAGGCAGTCGGCTGGAAGGTGAGTCCCTGTGCCTCTGCGTGGGAATCTGGACTCCTCTGTGCCTCTGAGATCCTGGGCTGCGCTCTGGGAGCACTGTGGGATGGCCTGGTGCCACTGGGGCACTGTCCACAGTGACTCAGGTGTGAACCTGCGGCCTGCCTCCCCACCCCCCATCCTCCCGTCGCCTGTGAGTTTCTCGTGTCTGTGCTTTCTGAGCGGGGATTCTCACAGCTCCTCTCCTACCTCTCTCCTGTGCCTCTCACTGGGATAAGCAGCTGAAATCCAAAAAATAGTGGCAGGTAGGCATGGCGGGCAGCGTGGCCAGCGGCCGCACACGGCACCCCCTGTCATGGTCTCTGGTCCCCCAGCGGGGGGCTGGGGGCCACTCCGGCCAGCCTGCCCCTGCCCAACCTGCCTGTCTCGTCCCTGTGCCCCCTGCCGTCTTGTGGGTGGAGCAGGCGGGCCGTGTCACCCCGGCCTGAGGGCTCTGCGCTGTGCAGGCACCCAGGATCAGTGTGGGGCAGGCCCGGGACGGAGGGAGACGTGGTGGCTGTGTCCCTGCAGGCCGCGCGGAGCTGCTGGACCACGCAGTGCTGCTGCAGGTGATCCAGGAGCAGCAGGAGCAGCAGAAGCGGCTGCTGCAGCAACAGGAGAAGCTCCTGGCCGTCATCGAGGAGCAGCACAAGGAGATGCACCTGCAGCGGCAGGACGGCGAGGAGGGCAAGTGCCTGGGCATGGGTGCTGCCCCCCACCCACTGTGCCCGCCTGACCTGCCTCTCTCCGCAGGGGACGGCAAGGAGCAGGAGGCCGAGCCCCGGGAGCCCCCGGCACAGCCTCTGGACTTGGCACCTGGTGCTCCTGGACGGCTCCTTGCCCCACCCCAGGGGCATGACCCGCGCCCTGTGGAGGGGTCCGAAGTGGCCGCAGGGAGACCCCCGGCTGGCCCTCATGGTGCCAACGCAGGGGCTCAGGGAAGCCATGAGGACGCTGAGCCTGGTGAGGCTCCTGTACCAGATGCTACCCCAGCACCCAGAGGCGTGCAGCAGCGAGGTCCGGGGACACGCAACGTAGCTGGAGGCGCCCACGGGGACAAGAAGCCTCGGAAAGAAGTGGCAGCCTCGGTGGCTGCCCTGGAGGAGGCAGCGGGACCAAGGAAGGACATTGGGAGGGAGCCCCCTCCGGAGAGGATGCAGCCAGAGACGAGAACCCTGGCCCTGCCCGGCAAAGGGGGCGCCATGTCCAATGGGGTTCAGGGCGGGCACCCAGAGGGGAAGGAGGGGGCTGCTGACCGAGACCCCGAGCCAGGGCCCAGGCCTGGCGCCCAGAAGCCGGACAATGCCAAGCCCAACCGCGAGCTCAAGGTCCAGGCCGGCTCGGACCTGCGGCGCCGGCGGCGGGATGCAGGCCCTGTCCAGGAAGAAGGGGCGCTCCTGGGCCTCCACCCCCTGCCCCAGGCCCACCTCAGTGATCTGCGCGGTGCCCTGGAGACGCAGCTCCACCAAGCTGCAGGGGGCGCTCTGCGAGTGGTCCATGGGCGCCAGGTCAAACAGATGCCAACCGGTCTGGAGGAGGCCTGAGCCCCGACTGCCCACCTTCCAGAACTCTCGTCCCTCGGCCTTGCTCCTGGACGCGGGAATAAACTCAGTGCCTTCCCGCCCTCCTGAGCACATGTGTCATCTGGGGCTGGGCAGCAGCCCCAGGCCAGCAGGTGCCCTGGCTGGTCACTCAGTACGTTTGGCGAGGCCCAGGGCACTCTGGCCACGGGGGCCTCTCCCCTTGGGGTATATCAGAGGACATGGAAGGACACAGTGGCGACAGGCCCCTGCACACATCACTGGAGCCGAGGACAGGGACCACCCAGTCCCCCTCAGGCCCTGCCCCAGTTAGACTGTCCACCCACATCCCAGGAACTCTCTCTGGCCCTGCCACCTGTGGTTCCAGGTTGATTAGGCTGCTCCTGGTTGGGGTGGGCACCCTGCCCTGCCCAGTGTACATCGCAGTCCCTTCTAGAGCAGAGATGGCCAGCACCACGGCTCTAAATCTTTATTGTGCTCGCCCACAGCCAGGAGGACCCCAACCAGCGGTTCCTGGGGACGGTCTAGCGGCCCCCGACGGTCTTCTTGGCCTGGAAGAGCAGTATCTTGTCAAACGTGTTGTTTGGCACCTGGGGTCACAAGGTCTCGCGTGCGTGTTCCATACCTGCCCCCAACCCCTGGCGGCCTGGGTGGGGCCCAGGGAAGCCGAGGTCTGGGTGCAGGGAACAGGAGGCAACCCGGGCGGGGAAGGGCGGGGCGCGGGAAGTATCCTCAGCTGAAGGGCAGGTACCAGCTCCTGGCCTGCGCGGGCCCCGGAACACGTACCGCGGCGGCGAAGCAGCTCCGCAGGGCCTGGAACTCCCGCGCGCACAGGTCCCGGCTCAGGCGGCCGCCCGGGGCCGTGGCGGCCTGCACGCACCTGCCGTAGGCGGCGGCCTGGGGGCGGGAGGGCGGCGTGGTGGGCTAGGGGCAGCGGGCCCCGGGGCCCCCGAGCACTTCCTCCCGTGTCTGCCGCCCCGCGCCCCTGTGCCCGTCGCCACCCCGCGCGTCCCCCGCCCTTCACCTCTTCCTCGCAGGCCGCCAGGCGCTCGGGGAAGGCGCGAAAGCGGCTCCGCACGCGACTCCACACAGCTCCGTTAGCAGCCATGAGAGATCGCTCCGGACCCAGTGGGCGCCGGACTTTAGACCGGCCTCTTCCGGCGTTTACAGTCGGCGCTTCCGCCCCCTAGCCTCCTCCGCGCCTTGTCATTGGATGTAACTCAGCCCTGGGTTCCGCCTCCAGAATCGCGGACTCTGGCGATTGGCTGGTTACCGAGTCTATCTTTAACCGGGTCTTCAGATTGGTTTGGGTTCACACTGTTTACCAAAGTCGGAGTCAGGACCCGCCTCCACGGGCGATTGGCCGGCGGGGCTTAGTCCGCGCGGTGATTGGGCAAGCCCCGGAAATGGGCGGGACCGAGAGTGACGGGCGTCATGGCGGCCTCGGCGCAGCTGCGGGACCGACTCCTCTTCCTGCAGCGGGTGAGCTGGCGGCCGCGGAGATGCTGGTCGGCGGGTCGGTTCCTTGCCCGGCGGCGTCCAGGCCGGCGGGATCGCGCGGGGCCCGCGGGCGCCCCCAGCCCTGCTCACGGTCTCCTCTCCGCAGCTCCCCGTCCTGCTGAAGGGGACCGCGGACGACGAGGCCCCGTGTCCCGGCTACGTGTTCCAAGAGGTCGTCAGTATCCAACAGGACTCCCGGTGGGGCGGCCAGGGGGCGCCCACGTGGTCCGGGAACTCACCGGGTGGCTGGGCTTGTCCCAGGGGTCATTAGTGTGTCCACGTGTGTCTGCGTGTCCCAGGAGGTCGTCTGTGTGTTCACGTGTGTCTTGATGTCCCAGGAGGTCGTCTGTGTGTCCACGTGTGTCTGGGTGTCCCAGGAGGGCATCAGTATGTCCACGTGTGTCTGCGTGTCCCAGGAGGTCATCCGTGTGTTCACGTGTGTCTTGATGTCCCAGGAGGGCATCGGCGTGTCTGCATGTGTCCGCGTGTCCCAGGAGGTCGTCTGTGTATCCATGTGTGTCTGGGTGTCCCAGGAGGGCATCAGTGTGTCCATATGTATCTGGGTGTCCTAGGAGGTCATTGGCGTGTCTGTGTGTGTCCGCGTATCCCAGGATGTCATCAGCATTTCTGAGTGTGCCCTAGGGGGTCATTGGCGTGTCTGCTTGTGTCCGTGTGTCCCAGAAGGTCTATCTGAGTCCATGTGTATATGTGTGTCCCAGGAGGTCATCGGCATGTCTGTGTGTCTGATTGTCCCAAGAGCTCATTGGCGTATCCACGCATGTTTGCATATCCCAGGATGTCATCAGTCTGTTTGCATGTGTCTGGGTGTCCCAGGAGGTCATCCGTGTGTCCATGTGTGTCTGCATGTCCCAGGAGGTCATCAGTCTGTTTGCACATGTCTGTGTGTCCCTGGAGGTCTTCGGTGTCTGTGGGTGTGTCTGCATGTGCTGGGAGGTCATCAGTATGTCCACGTGTGTCTTCGTGTCCCGGGAGTCACCATGCATGTGTGTCTGCGTGTGCCGGTTGCTGAGGCATCTCTCTCCGGCGGAGCTTCCCTAACGCACCCCCAGAGATCTCGCACGAGTCCCCGGGAAGCAGCCTGTGCCTCCTTGAGTACCTCCTGGCCCGGCTGCACGGGGGCTCAGGCCGCGTGAAGCTCAAGGTGAGGAGCAGGTGCCCTTCCGGGTCCCTGCGGGATGGGCAGACAGTGCTGGCAGCTGACCCGCCACCCCCGCTGCCCCGCAGGTGCTGAAGCTGCTGCAGCATCTGAGCATGCGCGGCTCCCCTGCCTTCCTGCAACTGCTGCGCCGCTGCCCCTCCTGCATCCAGGAAGCTTCGGGTGCGTGGGGCCGGAGGCTGGGGGCTCTGCCCTGGGGGGTGGGTGCTGGCCGGCCCTGAACCCCCCCACAGTGTTTGCAGGCCCCCCGGACCCCCTCCACGGGAACAGCTTGTACCAGAAGGTGCGGGCGGCGGCGCAGGTGAGCCCCGGGAGGGCTGCGCGTGGGGAGGCTGCAGCCCCCTGCGTGCTGAGTGGTCCCTCTTGTCCAGGACCTGGGGAGCACCTTGTTCTCAGACCCCGAGTCTCCAGTGCCACCTTCGCAGCCCCCTCAGGCCTTGCCGCATGCAGGTAGGGGCCAGCCCTGTGGGAGCCCCCAGGCCATCCCTGGCTGCGACTGACTGCCACCCCTCCCCACAGGAATGGGCTCCCAGTCCCGGCCCCGGGGTGCGCTCCAGGGCTTCGGCTACAGTGAGGAGCGGCCAGGTGAGCGCTGCCCCCACCTGTCCCCTGGTGACCTCTGACCCGCTCCATCCCACCCCACCCCTCGCTGCCCCCTCCAGTTCTGGATCTTGGCGGGGCCTCTTGGACACCAGCACACAGGCCCTTGTGAGGGGCAGGGCGCGGGCTGGGGTGCCGAGCAGGGCCGTCTCACCTCGGCACAGGCTCCGCGGGGGAAGCGTTCCTGTCCAGCATGCAGAGGGCGGCCGAGGTGCTGGTCCACGCCATGCGCCCCACGCCCGCGGGCCCCGCCTGCCCGGCGCCCGGGCTTGCCGGCTCCTACCAGCCCGTGGTGACGCCCGCACCCCGCAGCCCCCGGCCCGGGGCTGTGCCAGGGGCTGGGGTCCGAGGTGAGGAGAGCGGAGGGGCAGGCTAGGGAGGCGCTGGGCACGGAGGGGTCCCCCATGGCCACCCCTGCGTCTCCGTTTCCTGCAGCAGCACAGCACCAGCCTGGACGGGCTGGTGGGGGCTGGGACGAGCTGGACAGCAGCGACCCGAGTGTGCAGGGTGACAGCGAACCCGGCAAGGCCTCCGAGGGCGGCTCTGACGGCGACCTGACTGACAGGTGCAGGGGAAGCCTCCCAGGAACCGGGCGCCCAGGCCCGCCCCCGCCCTCCAGCCACCCCCCTCCCGCCCCCGCCCTCCAACTGCACCGCCCCCCATCCCCCCCAGCCGCCCTTCGGACCCCCCCTGCGCGCCCCGCCCCCGCCCCCACGCCCCTTCAGCCGCCCTGTGCCCATGCAGGAACGAGGTGGAGACCCTGCAGGACTGCCAGCCGGAGCTGGGCCTGGTTTGCGCCGTGACCAGGGGACCCCGCGCCTTCCTGAACCGCGAGGAGACTCGTTGCTTCCTCAAAGAGTGAGTCGCACCCCTGCAGTTGGCACCGCCCCCTGCGTCCCCCCCGCAGCTGGCACTGTCCCCTGCCGCCCCCCACGGACTCCTTCCCTCCCCGCAGGTGTGGGCGGCTCAACTGTGAGGTGGTCCTGCAGCTGCTGCTCAGCCGCCTGGATGGGCCCGATGAGTGTGCACAGATGGTGAGGGCGGGGCCTGAGGGCGCGGGGAGCCCTGAGGGTCGGGGTGCGAGGGGACCGAGTGCAGGGGTGCCTCGGGGAACGACGTTGAGTCAGGGGGACACCCAGTAGGCTGGCCAGTCCCACAGGCTCCGAGGCCTGAGCGGCCGTTCTCATTTCCCAGCGGGTGCTGAGCGCAGTGGCCTCGCTGGGAGGCAGTGACCTCCTGTCTGCGGAGCACATCCTGCTGCTGGCCCAGCCACGGCTGCACGAACTGGGCACCAGCACCCAGGGGCCTGTGGCTACCAAGGCCACCAAGGTGAGCCTGCCCTCCCTGCGCTGCCAGCCTCACCTCCCCGCTTCCTACACGCCCAGTCCACCCTGGGTCTTGTTCCTTAGATCCTGAGGCACCTGGAGGCAGCCTGCAGGCAGCGGCCCCCCATGCCGGGGCCCCCGGGCCCACCCAGTCACGCCGTCACCCGAGGGGGTCCGTGCGACCTGTTGGCGGACACTGTGCCCTTCTCCCGGGATGCATCTCCGCCCTCGCCCCCTAGCCTGGTGCCCCCGACCCCACCCACCCCGACGGACACCAGGGAGCCTCCGAGCGAGCAGGACCCTGGGTCTGCGCCCAGCCCAGATGGCAGCCTCGGCTCCCTGTTCGCAGGCATGGAGCTGGTGTCTTGTGCCCGCCTGTCGGGGCCAGAGCGGACCCCAGTCTCCCAGAGGGGGTCAGCCCTGGAACCGCCCACCCACGAACCTTCTGTGTTTGCGTTTCTGAACGTGTGACTCACGGGTGCCCCAAGGGCCTGACTTGGTGACAGCAGCTCAGAGCAGGCGTCTGGCCGGACTCCAGACAGCCACACTGGGCCCCGGGCTGTGCCTGAGCATGCCTGGGGGCCTGACTGGGGGTGTCTGCTGTGCTGCCTCCATCACCCTAAGGCCACTCCCGAGGGGAAAGGAACCCCAGTTCCCAGGGGTGCCGCCAGCTAGGTCCCCCGACACTTCTGTGGGGAATGTGGCAGAGACTGCCCATCCCAGGATCTAGGGAGGGCCACTCTAGCCTCTGTCCTGTCGTGTTGGCACTTCACAGCAGAGGGCCACAGGCAGTGGGGCCTGGCGTGCTAGTCTTGGGTGAGGGGGCTGGGCCTGGTCCTTCCTGGCAGTCCCGGTGTGTAGCCCCTCCAGACACCAAGGGCTGGGACCAAGGGCTGGGACCCTGTCATGAATAAATGCCTCACCTGTTGCCTTGCCTGTATGTAACCCATTTCTGAGTATATGTGTGAGCCCATGTGTCAGTGCCTGCATGTATGAGTGTGCCTGTGTGTCAGCATGTGCATTGAGCGTGTGCCTGTGTCAGTGTGTGCATGTGTGTCAGTGCCTGCATGTTGTGTGTGCCCGCGTGTCAGCGCCTGCATGTATGTGTGCCCGTCTTAGTACCTGCATGTACATGTGTGCCCGTGTGTCAGCACATGTATGCATACCTGTGTCAGCACCTGTGTATGAGTGTGTGCCTGCGTGTCAGTGTGTGCTTAGGACTTCCCCAGAAGCAGGCTGGGCACTGAGAAGGGATTGCTGACATATCCCTGTTCCCGGCCGCGCTGAGGACTCAGCAGAAACCTGCAGTGCCAAGAGATGGTGTTTGGGACTGTGGAGGAGAGCCGAATGAAGCCCGTGGGGCTGGAGGAAATAGCTTGGCACCCTGACCACGCCAAGGCAGCAGTGCCGAGCACAGCGCTGCTGAGTAGGGCCCGGCAGCCTGCGGTCCCCATAGCCAGAAGTAGAATTTGGAAAACACCTTCTTTGAAGCTGAGTCCTAGTGCCTATGGGCCAGGAAGGGGGCAGTTGCTCTTGGCCTGTTCTGAGGGTCCGTCAGCCAGGGACCCAGCTCCCCCCTGCAGACTGCCTCCCCTGGCCCTGGGCTCCCTCCCCTGCTCTCAGGTCCTGCCCGCCTCCTGCAGGCCCTCATCTTGACCCAAGTGGGCCATTCTGAGGAGCTTTTATGATCAGTGAGGGGACTAACCTTGGAGGTGGGATGGGGTGGGTGCAAGGCCAGCTAGTGGGACTCCTCCCACCAGCTCCCACCTTCACATATGCAGCAAGAGATAAGAGCCAACACTTGCAGGCTGGGACCCACAAATCAGAAGGTGTGTGGCACCTGGGCTATGGCTCCTCTTCACCTACATTCTGGGCTAGTGGTGTGGCTGGGTGCTTCTGCGCGTGCCTTGCACACTGGCTCAATTCTCGGCACCCCCCCCCACACACACACACACGTGCAACACTCCTGATACCTTGCTGAGGAAACCTACAACATCCCAGGTGCAGCGAACCCGTCCCACCCACGGGCCCAGGTCGCGAGGCCGCTATCCCGACAACGTGGAAGCTCCCAGGGACCTGACCAGCCAGGCAGCTTACTGCAGAGCTGGGCACCTTCTCCCCAACTCCATCGAGGACTGACACTTTCGCCATCAAAATATCACCAGGGACACAGGAGACCCCCGGCGTCATAGCCGCGAAGTCCAGGCCCAGGCCACAGGGGCCCCAGACCACAAGGGCCCTGGGCACCTAGGTGCATCCCCCAGACGTGCAGGAACATACAGGAACGGTGGACCCGCGGGGCCGGCCGAAGGCGGGCCGGGGCAAGCAGGCGGGCAGTCCCCAGTAGGGCCTTAGGAAAGCGGAGGGGGCAACACGAGGGTCGTGGGAGAGCAGCATGGGAGCACCGACCACGCGGGGCGTCAGGGTTCCTGGCGGGCCTGGACCGCGGGCGCCCCCCCAGCCTCCCTGCTCGCCCCGCCCCCTCATGCCCCGCTCCCCATAGCGGCCAATTGGCAGCCGGCGGCCGCCGCGGCCCGGGCTCGTCGGGGTTCCTCCCACGCCCGCACGCCCCGAAGGACAGCCGAGTCATCCAATCGGCTCCCGGCACCGTCGGCGCGGCCCGGCCGGAGGGCCAATCCGGGAGAGGCGCGGACAGAGAGGGCGGGCCTCCGTGACGGACAGGGAGGAGGCGCCCGGCTGGTTGCTAGCTGCCGCCGTCGCCCGCCGCGCCGCTTGGCCGCTTCATTGTCGCCCCAGGCAGGGAGGCCGCGCGAGGTCGGGGCGCGAGGTCGCCGCCCGAAGGCTGAACCCCTCGCGTCCCACCCCGGCCTGCCTCCCGCAGCCCATGCCCGCAGCTCGGGGGTCCGAGCGGAGAGGGGGCCTCGCAGGTGCTGGACCTTCGCCAAGCGGGGGATCCCTCAAGCGGGGGTTCGCTCAGTCGGGGAGTCCCTTCCCTCCAGGTGAGGCTCCACGCGGGCAAGGGGCGCCCAGGCCCCCAGAGCGTGTGCACGGGCTGGCCGGGAGCGGGTGCAGACTCGGTGCCCCTCGCCCAGGATATGTCCAGCTGCAGGGCCCGGGGCCGGGTTTGTGGAGAGAGGGCAGGGGTGAGGAGGCCTGAGGTTGCAAGCACAGGGGTGCAGCGGTCATCGGAGGGGGGCTGGGGAACCTTCTGCCCGCAGACCGCCCAGGGGCCTCTGGGTCAGCTTGGGGGCATGGGTGTCAGGGGGGCGGAGGGTACTGGGGGGCGGACCTGGGTGGGGAGCCCCCTTTCCAGGAGCTCAGGAGGGCTCTAGGCGGGCACTGCAGCAGCCTCTGAGCGGGTGCGGGTGGCACCTTCCCGTTTGCTGTGCATGCTGGACTCACCGTGGTGCCCGGGACACACACCTTAGCTGCTCTGTCTCCCGGGAATCCCAAAAGCCAGTGAAATTGGGGTGCGCAGATGCCCCACTGCTGGCCACAACGCCCCTCCCCCACTTCTCGGATGCCTCCTTTGGGGGGAGATGGGTCACACCCGAGGTGCCCGGGGGCTGTCCTGCCTCTGTGCTCAGGAGCTTTCCCCTGGCAGTGCCCTGGGGATCCTGTGGGGCTGGGGTGGCATTGGGGTGGGTAGCTGTGTACAAGGCTCTGTGACCCATGTGCCAGACCCCCAGGTGCCCCTTTTTATGGGTGAAGAAACTGAGGCTGGCGCTGCCTGCCAGAGGGGGTCATCTCCTCCCCTCGCCCCTGTAGCTGGCTGTTCGCCATGTTCCTTATTTTCCTGACTGAGGCGCTACCCAGTGAGGTGAGGTGGGGGACCGTGGCAGGATTGGGGCAGGGTGGGCAGTGGCTGACCTGGACCCTCTGCTCCGCTTAGGGCTGCTGTCCCCATGAAAGGCGCCCAGCCCGTGGGCAGCCCCGCGGGGGCCCCTGGGAGCAGCCCAGAAGGTGTGGACCTGACACTGACCGGCTTCCCGCCACCCTTGTCCCACCGGCCCAGCAGCGCCGCGGCCACCAAGCCCCTGACCCGCTCTGTGTCTGCCGTGGTGGGCACTGGGCCGCGGAGGAGGGCGCAGGTGAGTGGCCGGGGTCCAGGGGAGCCCTCTGCACCCTTCACGCCTGAGTGTTCCCGTGCTGTGACCCCCTTCAGAGGTTCTCTGCCCCCCCCCACGCCATCTGGGGGCTCGTGGCCTTCTTTGACCCAGTGACCCTCCGAGGTGTGTTGGTGCTCAGGCTGTGTCCACTCTCAGAGCTCACGGGGACCCCCAGCAGAGCCCCACAGGGCAGGAAGGCCAGGTTGGGCCGGGCTGTGTCCAGTGCGAGATGCCACGGTGGGCAGCTCTGGGCCAGGCCAGTGTGTCCCTAGAGCTGCCTTCTCACCATCCATTCTGGCCCCGTCACCCTGCTCTGTGGTGATGCTAGGGTGCGGGCCGGTCACTGCTGCTCCCCATAGGACCCCACAGGGCCTGGAAGACCCCCAGCTGTGAACAACCTGCGCCGATCCAGCAGCGCCACCCAGGTGAACCCACCACCCGCAAGCCAGGCCTGGACCGACCCCCCCAGGTAACTCTGACCTCTCTGTGTGGCTGGGGCCCCGGCCTCAGGGTCCTGTTGCCCTGGGAACTCTAGGAGATGCCCGGGATGGAACCCAGGTCGGCCACACGTAGGGTCGGCACCTCCCTGCTCTACGGCAGGGCAGAGCAGACTTCAGAGCCAGCCTCTGTGGCGAGGGACACCCGTGGACTTGGGACTCGAACCCTGCCCTCCCCATTCAGGGACCCCTCCAGACTCGTGGCTGTTGCCCAGAGGCGCAACCTTCAACTCCCACACAAACCCAACGAATTATACCCAGCCCGCTGGCCTTTGGGAATGTGAACTCAGTGTACCTCTTGTGGGGGTGGCATTTGGGGGTGTGTCACATGGGCATGGTTGATGAGTTTTGGCCTGTGGATGTGGCTTTACAGGCATGTCTGTGGGCAGGGCCTTTAAAGATTGGTGGGCCGCCTTCGGGCACCTGTGGGCGGAGCCTTTCGGGATGTGGTTCGTGGGTGGGCCTTTAGAGGAGTGGCCGCAGGCCCTCTCCACCTGCACCCTGTGAGAGATCCCAGCAGGGTCCAGCTCCAGGTGTGCGGACTGGGTTCCATCTCCCCAGTGCCTTTCAGAACTGTTGCCGGTACATGGTCCTTTTCTGTTCCGCAGGAGTCTAGGATCTTAGCCCCGCTCTCCCAGACTGGGGAGAGCATGAGCAGGGCGTTGGTGGGACCTCCTTTGTGCACCAGTTAGACTGGGCACTGCTACTCCCATTCCTCCAGCTGCTGGGTGCTGCAAAGACCCATATGTGTCCCACAAGTGCACGGCTGACCCTGCCTGCGCAGGTGGCCACAAGGCTGGATCCTCCAGTTCTGCAGGGGGGGTTAGATTGATTCCCAAGGGCATGCCTTGGACTGGATCCCATGAGGGTCCCCAGGACAATGGTGAGGTGGGAAGGGCATATGTCCACAGGGCTGAGGACCACCGGAGGTGCTGGCCGTGCCAGGGGGCCCGAGTGACAGCACAGTGAGGAGGGCACTTGTCTTGCACATGGCCCACCTGGGCTCAACCCCTGGCATCTCAATGGTCCCCTTAGCACTGCCAGGAGTAATTCTTGAGTTGCAGAGCCAGAGTCAGCCCTGAGCATTGCTGGGTATGGCTCCTCCCAATAGCACTACTGCCACATTATCCCAGTCCTTATACTGCCATGGGCAACGGGCGGAGTCCCTGCTCCCTCTGTTCCCTCCTCACCCAGCAGTGGGCCTGCTCCCGGTCTCTCTGACACAGGCCGGTGGAGCCCCTGGATTTCCTGGCACTGTTTGAGAGCAGCCCTGATGGGCAAAAGCAGCCATGCAGTCTGGGAAAAGCTGCCAGTGATCAGAGAGCCACGTGGAACATTCTGGTAAGACTGAGAGAGCCTTGTCCACCTGGGTGTAGTCCCTGCAGCTGAGCGGTGGGGCCTGTGTCCGAGCTGTGCCCACTCTGTCTGGCCATGGCATCACAGAGTGTGGGGTGGACCAGGATCCCCAATGCCCTGGCCCTGCCCACTCTGGGGGAAGGGGGGCGTTTGTGTGGCAGGCCATGGGCTCAGTGGCACCTGCACACAGGACGAGCAGCCCAGGGCTTCCCCACTGCCTGTCGACACCCGGAGCCCGCCCAGTGCCCCTGAGGCGCGTGCTGGCCCGAGAAGGAGGGAGTGTGCTGTGACCCTGGCGCCTAGCTTCACGGCCAACAACAGGTAATGGGCCTTCCCCGCCGGGCTCCTGGTCCTCACGCCTCTGGAGGGATCAGGTGAGTGCATTCCTGGTGAAAGCACAGACGGTGCGTTGCACAGAGGAAGGATGTGTTGAACCGTGAATGAGGAATGAACAAGAAAGAAAGATGAGCTGAACAAGAAGGGGTGATGTGTGACTGGGTGAAGGGGTGCTGAGGAAGGATGGTGCAGAGTGGGTGACGTTGAATAAGAGCTTGTGAATGATGCGTGTATGAGGGGTTAGTTAGCAATGGGTGATGCATGAAAAGGAGCCGAGGAGAAATGAGTTGGATGAGAATGAATGGTGCAGAATGGCTAAACTGGTGAGGAATGAATGATGCTGACTAGATAAACTGATAAACGAATCATGCGTGAATGAATATGCTGATGAATGAATGATGCTTGAAGGATGATGAGTCGATGAGAATCAAAGATTCATGAATGATGAGTTAGGTGAGGCGTCTGATTGTGAAGGGTGAGCTGGGGAGCGAGGGCAGCGACACTCGTCACATGGGGTGAGGAGAGAGCGAGCAGAGAGTGTGGGGCAAATCGGCCTGTCTGCCCGGTGTTGTGCCCAGAGGCTGCGTCTGCCCCCCTCCCCATGTGCGGGTGGGCTACCCATGGCATCGTGACCCCGCCTTAGCCTGCACCCGCCTGTCTCCGCAGGAGCAGCAAAGGAGCGGTGGGCAACCGTGTGACAGCGATGGTGCATAACCGTCACAGCCCCGCAGAGAAGGCGCCACCCCCCAAGAGCTCCAACCACACAGCCCTTTCCCTCAAGTAAGGCCCCGCCTGACTGGCTCCCAGTGCTGCCTCTGCCTGGTCACACATGTAGGTGCATGCACATGCACATGTGTACACACATACATGTCACGTGTGTGCCTACATGCACATGTGCACACACCTGCACATAGATACACATATACAAACACGTGAAAACGAATGCACACACATGTACACAAATGAAAACACATGTACCCATATGCATCCTTGCACACACAGGGTGCTAGGAGAACATAGACCAGGGTGGCGCAGCAGCAGGCACCCCCCCCCCCCCGAGAAAGCAAGTGACCCCAGTGTCAGGCATGTCCTGAGCTGAGGGATCTGAATGTCTGCTCAGCCCCTGGTGTCCCGGGAGCACCCACACCCCGTGCCTGTGGCAGGGCCTGAGCCTTTCTGGCCTTCCTGGCAGCAACATCCTCAAGGCGGCCTCCCACGAGGTCCAGGAGAGCGGAAGCATCCAGAAACTGCAGAAGAATCTGGCCAGCAGCAACCAAGGGGCCCGGAACAACACTGGGGGGCCCCTTGGCCCCCTCAGGAGGAAGGAGGTGACGGAGGAAGAGGCTGAGAGGTGCGTGAGGTGGAAGAGGAGGGGGCGGGCTTGAATGTCCAGAAGTTTCCGTTCATACTTGCTGGACCTCTGGAGTCTGTGGAGACTCGTGTTCCTTGGTCCCGCGTGTGTGAGTGTCCAGCAGAGGCAGCACTGTGTCCATGGGCCAGGACCGTGTGGGGAGCTCTTTGGGGCTTGTTATCACTGAGCCTTTCCTGGACCTGGGGAGGTCACTGTCTAGCCACGGGACATGTGCCTGCCACGGAGCACAGCCAGGCCCCACTCCCCCGCCAGGCCTGGTACCCAGCAGTGGGGGCCAAGCTCAGGGCAGCCCCAAGGCCCTGCTGTCACCCCTTGGCCCGGTACTATCACTGTTCCAAGCTGCTCAAACAGACCACAGACATGGGAGCTGAGGCAACGCCCACAGGTGCTGTCAGGGCCCAGGGCTACTGTCAGCTGCTCTGTCCCTTCCAGGCTCCTGCCTGTGTCAGATAAAAGGCTTCTCTGGACACCTGTGGCCAGGGCCCCACCCTCATGTGCTGCTGGGTCCTTCACGGGACTGGCCCTGGGACCCTGCACATGGAAACCTGTGCCACAACCACTCGAGGACATGCTTCTGTGCCCGCACACTGGGCCTTTTGCTCCTGGGTCCTAGAGAGTGGCCCCCGTCCTGAAGCCCACTTCCCCCTAGGTTCATCAACCGGGTGAACAAGGCGGCTGTCACCATTCAGCGCTGGTACCGGCAGCAGGCCCAGCAGCGGACAGGAGAGGCCTCCAGGGAGCGAGAGGTCAGTGGGGCAGGGGCCTCGCCCTGGAGCCCAGGCCCAGCTCCCTTCTTGCAGGGCCAGCAGTTGGGGCAGGTTGAATTCAGGCGGCTCCCAGGGGCCCTGACCCCGGAGACAGGTCAGCCCTCTGTGCAGCCAGGAAATGTTAGGGTGCGCTACACAGAAGCTGGCCTTAATGGGGGACCCCTCCTCACCCCATCCTGCTTCGCTGGGTCCCACAGGGGAAGCAGCTCCCAGGAGATGGGAACATTCTGGACATGCACCGTCAGAAGGAGGCAGCCAGGAGGAAGGCCAGGGAGGAGAAGGCGCGGCAGGCCAGGCAGGCGGCCATGCAGGTGCGGGGTCACTCGCTGCCCGGGCTCAGCCATCCAGCTGCGGGGTCACTCACTGCCTGGGCTGAGCCGGTTAGGTCTGGGGTCACTCGCTGCCCGGGCTGAGCTGTCTAGCTGTGGGGTCACTGCTCAGGAATGCGGGGTCACTGCTCGGGACTGAGCCGTCCAGCTGCAGGGTCACTCCCGACCCAGGGCTGAGTCAGTCACTCAGGGGGCCTCCAACCTCCCCCCTCCACCAGCCACTGGAACGAGGCTCAGAGCATCTGGGCAGCTGACAACCCCCCTCCCCTCACAGGAACTGCAGCAGAAGCGAGCCCTGAGGCAGGGCACTCTGGAACTGGCCCCCAGGCGGGGACGCCCCCAACTCTCACCAGCCCACAAAGCCAACAACACAGGTGTGGGGGTCGCCCTGCTGCCATGTCTGCCCGCCCCTCCCGTCAGCCACCAGGGGGGCGCGCATGCCTGCCCTCAGCGGATCCTTCCCACATCCTCAGCATCTGGGATCCCACTGTACCCAGGCAGGATCCCCCCACCTTCTAACACACATTTTGTTTGCAGGGGCCGAACCCCACACTGCAGGCCAACAAGATGCTTGCCAGCCCCCCACGGAGGTGTCCCCACAGCCCCAGCCGTTTCCAGAGCCCACGAAGCAGGTCTGCTCCGGCCCTGGCCTGGGGTTGCTGTGCTAGGTGCCCTCCCTAACCTCTTCATGCCCAAGGTGCACGAGCTGCCCACTCACCCCACTGACGGCCCTGCGACTTCCCCTTCTGCAGGACCCCATCTCCCACGAGGCAGCCGGCAGGGACCGGGAGGCCCCAGAAGCTGCCAGGAGTAGGGCCAAGTCCAGAGTCATGCTGGACGAGCTGCTGGACACTCTGAAACTGCTGGAGGCAGAGCCTGAGCCTCTGCCCCCGCCCAGGACCTACCGACAGGACAGATACGCCTGGAGTGATGAGGTGACGTTGCTTGCACAGAGCCGGACCCCAACCATGTTAGGGCCCACAGATTGAGATGAGAGCCCTGGGTGGGGCAGCACCACAGGCTGAGACCCCCCCCACCCCCCAGCTCCAACCCCTTCCACCCGGCTCCGCCCTTCTGCTCGGCCCCGCCCCTCCATCCAGCCCCACTCCTCTGCCTGGCCCTGCCCCTTCACCCAGCCCCGCCCTCCGCCCGGCCCCGCCCCTTCTCAAGATCCCGCGTCTTCCCTCCAAGCCCCACCTCATCCCCAGGCCTGTCCCTTGTGCGCAGTGCCCTGCAGCCCGCATGCTCCCTCACTGCAGGAGGACAGGGCCAGCTCCCTGACTGCTGATAACCTGGAGAAGCTGGGGACGCTCAGTGCTGGCGCGGGGCCCCCTGAAACCGGGACGCTACTGTCGGAGGCCAAGCTGCAGAGCATACTGAGCTTTCTGGACGAGATGGAGAAGTCAGGGCAGGACCGGCCCAGCCCGGCCCCCCAGGTGTGCGAATCCCCGGGGAAGCGCTGCAGCCTGGCTTGGGGAGGGGCGCCCGCCTGACCCCTGTCGTCGTCAGGGGCCCCTGCTGGAGGACGGACCTGGGCGCCCCATGCCAGAAGCCAGCACTTCCCTGATGCGGCTGCAGCTAGAGGTGGAGGAGAAGAAGCGGGCCGCGGCGCTGCTGCAGAGGGCACTGGTGAGTGCCCAAATGCACGCCTCGACTCCCCACCCCCAAGCCGCTCTGCTCCCCAGGACACCTGTGTGCCCTCCACAGGCGCAGCAGCGGGACCTGGCGGAGCGGCGGGTCAAGGAGACAGAGCGGGAGCTGGGTCGGCAGCTGCGGCAGCAGCAGGAGCATTACGAGGCCACCATCCAGCGGCACCTGTGCTTCATCGACCAGGTGACCTGCGGGTCGGCCAGAACTGGCCTCCCCATGTGGGGGGGAGGGGGAATGCTAGGGGCTGCAGGGAGAAGCACTGGTCTGCACTGTGCCATCCCTCACTGGGGGCCTGCACTTGGCCTGGTGCCTCAAGCCCCCGGCGGGCCATGGTCCTGGAGACCGTGAGGGAGGGCCTCGGGACTGCCCCCCGCCCCAAGGGCCAGCCTCCTCTGCCCTCGCAGCTGATCGAAGACAAGAAGGTCCTGACTGAGAAGTGTGAGGCGGTGGTGACCGAGCTGAAGTCGGGCGAGCAGCGGCACCGTGAGCAGGCGGCCCGCACGCAGGAGCAGCACCGCCTGGTGAGGGGACCCCGGCCCTGCCACGGACACCTAGAGCAAGGCCTCTCGTCACTCAGTGGACCTGTTGGGAGCCTGACCCCGTGTCACCTGAGGGCAGAGGGTCTGCGCGTGCCCCCTACTGCGGGCCCCAGGGGGAGGCACTACCCCCAGTGACCAGCTCTCCCCCAAATCAGGCAGCACCTTGGGGTGGGGGCACTGGTGCTCCCTGTGCCTCCTCCTGCTGCCCACACCTTCTCAGTGCAGACTTCCTCCGGGACAGGAGGGGACACCGCGTGCCAATCTGGAGCGCCCTGAACCTGGAGTGGCCTGTGGGTGGGGGTTGGTATCCATTGCCTACTCCGTTCCCTTTCCGGCAGGAGGTAAAGAAACTGAAAGAAGTCATGAGCGCCACGGAGAAGGTGCGCAGAGAAAAGTGGATCAACGAGAAGACGCGCAAGATCAAGGAGATCACAGTCCGAGGTGGGGCCCCAGGCCGGGTCTGCGGGGCGGCTGGGCGGGCTGGAGGCGGCTCAGGCTCAGGCCCTGCAGCGCGGTGCCCCCGCAGGCCTGGAGCCCGAGATCCAGAAGCTGATCGCCAAGCACAAGCAGGAGGTGAAGCGGCTCAAGGGGCTGCACGAGGCGGAGCTGGCACAGGCGGCAGCGCGCGCGGCCGAGCTCTACGGGCGGCAGGCGGAGGAGCTGCGGGCCCGGCTGGAGCGCGAGAAGGAGGCGCTGGGCCAGCAGGAGCGCGAGCGCGCCCAGCAGCGGTGGGTGCCGGGGACCCCCGGGGCTCGCGCTCTCGGGGCGGCCGGGGCGGGGCGGCCTCACGGGGCCCGGGCTGGCCCCGCCTCGCAGCGGCTCCCCCCCACCTCCCCTGTAGCCTGGAGCAGCACCTGGAGCAGGAGCAGCGGGCCCTGCAGCAGCGGCGGCGGCAGCTCTACAGCGAGGTGGCCGAGGAGAAGGAGCGGCTGGGCCAGCAGGCGGCCAGGTGAGGGGGATGGGGCAAAGTCGCCGGGGGGCGGGCCGCGGGTCCCGACCGCCGCGCTCACGCCGGGGCCCTGCAGGCAGCGCGCCGAGCTGGAGGAGCTGCGGCGGCAGCTGGAGGCGAGCAGCGCGGCGGGCGGCCGGGCGCTGCGGGCCGAGTTCGACAAGGAGCGGGAGGCGCAGGAGCAGCGGCACCAGGTGGGCCCCGCAGCCCCCGGCCCGCGGCCCGGGCTCCCGCCGTCGCGCCCGGCGGGCACTCACGCCGCCCTGTGCCCAGGTGGAGCTGAAGGCCCTTCGGGACCAGCTGGAGCTGGAGAGACAAGTATGGGAAGCCAGCTGCGCCCGGAAGGAGGTAGGTGCCGTACCCGGGCGGGCCGGCGGGCCGGGCGCCCGCGCAGCCCCTCAATGCCCCGTGCCCCGCAGGAGGCCCGGCTGCTCAGCCGGGAGCGGGAGCTGAAGGAGGAGATCCGGCGAGGCCGCGACAAGGACATCGAGCTGGTCATCCACCGGCTGGAGGCTGACATGACGCAGGCCCGAGAAGAGGGCGAGCGGGCCACCGAGAGCCGGTGAGCGCCTCAAGCAGTCGCCCCGCCGACCTGCCCCTCTCCTGTGCGCCCCGCCCCCATTCAACGCCCCTCGCCCGCCCGCAGCATCCAGCGCATCCGGGACAAGTACCAGACGGAGCTGGCCGAGCTGGAGCGCTCGGAGCGGCAGCTGCAGGAGCGCTGCGCGCAGCTCCGGAGCCGCCTGGGGGAGGCCGAGGGCGAGGGCGTGCGCCTGCGGGGCCTGCTGCAGCAGAAGGAGCGGGAGCTGGCTGACACGCGGGAGGTGAGCGGCGGGGGCGGGGCCGCGGCGGTGTGGGCGGGGTCGCGGTTGGCGTGTGGGCGGGGTGACTGGGTAGAGCTGTGGCTGTGGTATGCACATCGCGGGGGCGGGGCCGTGTTTGTGGTGTGGGCGGGGCGATTGTCGGAGGCGGGCCCATGCTGTCGTGTGGGCGGGACGACGGGCAGGGCGGAGTCGTGAAGTGGGCGTGCTCCTTGGGGCGGGATCAGGTTCTGGGCAGGATGATGGCCTCACATTGACCTGTCCCCAGGTAAATGAGCAGCTGACCGCGGAGCGCCGAGACCTGGCCCAGGTGCTCCGCCAGGAGTTCGCCGATCGCCTGGCGGCCTCGGAGGAGGAGACTCGGCAGGTCAGGGCTGAGCTGGCCGCGCTGCGTGCCCAACAGCAGCTGGAGCTGGAGCAGCTGACGCGGAGCAAGCAGGCCGAGCTGGAGGCGGTGCACGGGAGGTGGGCGCGGTGGGCGTCAGAGCAGTGCCCCCCCAGTAAGGGGTGTGGGGGAGCCCGAGGCTGCCTGTGCCAGGCTCATCCTGCACCCTGAGCCCCCCAGAGGGTGGGACCTGGGGCACTGAGCAGCCCCAGCCGCCTGTGGGCAGTGCAGGGTGAGTGGGGGTGGACTGCAACCCCTGGACCCCACAGGGGTCCTACCACGGGATGCAGCTGACCTGCTCACATTGGCCTCCTGACCTCAGAGCCTGTGGGCTGGGCAGGACGGCTGCCCTCCTGCCCTTAGGCTGGGTGGGTGCTTAGCGGCTACCTGCTGTGCCCTCACAGGGTGAAGGTGGCGCTGGCCAAGAAGGAGGAGGCAGTGAGCAGCCTTCGGAGGCAGCATGAGGTGAGGCCGGCTGAGGGGCAGGGTGCTGGGGTGTGGCCCGGCTGCCCACTGACCCTGGCATGTTTCAGGCGGCAGTGAAACGAGCTGACCACCTGGAGGAGCTCCTGGAACTGCGGCGGCGGCCGGGCCCCAGTACCCAATGAGGCTGTGACCAGCCGTGTCCTGTGTGCCCGTGTGGCACACTGCCACAGTAAAGAATTGTTCCCTGTTCAAGTGTTCTGCGAGTGGACCTGTGCTGGGTGCTGCGTGGGGGCCGTGGGCAGGGAGGGGACCAGTGTTCCTCCAGTCCAGCCTGAGTCCCCCCTCCCCGACTCCAGGCTGCAGAGGCCCTTCCTCAGGATGGACACTGAAACCTTCCAGAAAGGGGCTGATCAGGCCGCTACTTGCCCTGGTGGCCAGGGAGGATGTCTGGCTCTGGGCTCTGTGTTCCCGAGACCTGGGGTGGGGGGGTGGCCTTGTTTGAGCCAGAGCCTCTGCAGTGGGCCTGAGCTAGGCTCACGATCCTGGCAGGAGCTGCTGCGCCCAGTCCTCGCGGACTTGGTTCCCCATGTGCACCCCCTCGGCATCCGGGGGCCTTGGAACACCCACTCGGGGTGGGGGACCTGGGTGAGGGGGTATCTGAGGCTGACCCCTCCCCTGAAGTTTTGACCAGAGTCACAGGGAACAGAAAGGCCACTGGGGGCAGGAGGGGACTGGGGAGGGTCGGTGGGCACCACCGCTGCAAACTCGAGCGTTAGCACTGTCGGCTACCCCTGCTCCACATCTGCAGAGGGCCAGTCAGCTCTTTGGGAGAAGGGTCCTCCCAGGCCTCCCACAAATCTGCACATTCCCCGATGAGCTCACCCTGTCCTTCCCTGAGGGCTGTGGCAGCAGGTGGGCCCCCATGTCCATAGCTTGAGGCTGCTGCTGCCCTGCCCTCAGGCCTGGCCCCAGCCCCACCTCCAGCCCCTGGAGGTCCTATGGAGTGCTGGCTGCCCAGTAGCTCACTCTGTGAGGCTGGGACCAGGTGCAGGTGGCAGCTGCCCCGCTGCTGGTCCCTCAGCCCGGCTAGACTCCTTGCCAGCTCCAGGACCTGTCGGGCCTCTCATACAGGCCCCAGCCTCGGTTTCTGCCATCCTGCTCAGCTGCCCCGGGCTGCGCCAAAGGGGCAGCGAGTCCCCTCACCCACGCCGTCCCTGCTCAGCCGCCAGGGGGCAGCAGACACCACAGCGCTGCGACCGTGGGGCACGGGGGCTGCGGCTCCCTGACGGGCAGCTGTGCCCTCCCTCCCGGCCTGTTCTTGAGGTCCTGCTGTGCCCGGGGTGCAGCGTCAGTGGGTGGCGGTGGACAGTGCAGGGGTGCAGCTCCCAGCACGCCCCAGGACACTGCGCGTACAGGCTGGACTGGGCGCCCAGAGCTGGGAGAGCAGGACCTGACCTCCCCAGGGCTTGGGCTGGGGCGACCCCAGGACCTTGGTCGTCCTGCTCAGAGCAGCCCTGGGGTTCTGGGGGTGGAGCCAGGGTCAGCCAGGGTCTGGCGGGGAGCCTGGTCCAGGTGGGCTCTGGAGATGTGGGAGGTCCCCGGCCACTCAGCGGGGGCTGGAGGCAGCCACGGCCCCACTCTGGGAGCTGAATCTAACCGTTCGCTACCCTCCCCCCCAGCGGCCCTGTCCAGTCACATCCCGGACTGGCAACCGAGCACCAGGTTGCCCTGGCCCCTGTCCCTGCATCCAGGGACACGGTGTGACTCTGTTTGTCTTCACCACTTTTTATTTTTACTGGTTCTTGGGCACAGGATGGTACCCAGGATCACTCCTGGAGGTGCTGTGGGGTGCCGGGTTGGCATCGTGCCTGGCAGTGCCCATCCTGGACTCTGGCTTCCGTGCGTGTGGCTGGAATAGCTGGGACTGGGGATCTGGCCTCCTTTCCCTGTGACAACCTCGCTCCACCTCCCACAGCGTCCGGGCCTGGTCTCTGTGGGGCCCCGACCTGAGGCTGAGGCTGAGCACACACCTCTCAGTGCCAGGAGCAGGTGGGTCTGGGGACAGGCCAGGGGCCGCCTGCCTCAGCCCCTGGGGGTCCAGCCCGCAGGGTCACCTTGGATGGCGCCCCCAGAAACCGGGCGGGCTCTCTCCCAGCCTGGTGCCCAGCCCATCCCGGACACTGCCAGGGCCGCGCATAGGCGGTCGCTGCGGGCGACCGAGGGGCCGGTTACATAAGGCTCCGGGCCGGGACACCCCGACCGTCCCCTGGCGCCAGGCCCCGCCCCGCGCTGGCCGCGCCCCGGGCAAGATGGCGCTGGGGGGGCCGGAGCCGGCCCGGGCGGGGGTCCCCCCGCAGGTGTCCCCGGGGACCCGCGCGGACGGCGGGAGCAGAAGGACCCCGCCCCGCCGCAGGGCGCGCCGCCCCCGGCCCGGGCTCCCGGCCCCGCGCGCGCAGCCGATGCCAGCCGGGCGCGCGCCCCCCGCCGAGCCCCGCGCCCCCCGCACTCCCCGCCGAGCCCCATACGCCCCCAGCCTGCGAGCCCCGCCGAGACAGCCCCGCGTCCCCCGCTGAGCCCCGCGCCCCGCGCCCCCCTCAGCCGAGACTGCCGCCGAGCCCCGCGCCCCGCGCCCGCCCCGCGGCGCCCGCCCGCGCCCCGTCCGCGCGTGTCCGTGCGCCCGGCGGGAGGGGCCCGCGCGCTCCCGCGTGTCTGCGGCCGCGCAGCCCGAGCCCCGCCGGCCGAGCCCGGCGCGCCGCCCCGCCCGCACCCCGGGCCGCGCTGCGGCTGGGCGCGGGGCGCGGGCGCGGGCGCGGGGCGCGGGCGCGGGCGAAGAGCGCCCGCCCGGGATGCCCGCCGCGCCGCGGGCCTGGCCATGTCGTCGTCCTTCTTCAACCCCAGCTTCGCCTTCAGCTCGCACTTCGACCCCGGTGAGTCCCCGCCGCCCGCTTAACCCTTCCCGCACCGCCGCCGCCGCCGCCGCCGGCCCGGCGCCCACCCGCTCCGGATCCCCCGGGGGGAGGGGCTGGGGCTCTGGCCAAGGCGCCCCGCGACGGGAAGCCGCCCGGCCCAGGTTCCTGGGCCCGGGGCCCCGCTGTTCAGGGGAGGACGCTGCCAGGACCCAGACCCGGAGCAGTGGCGAGTGCCCCCTCCGGGGTCCGGGCCAGCATGGCCGCTTGCCAGGCCCTGGGCTTAGCAGGAGTGGTCCTCGGGCTGAGACCTTGTGGGGTCTGCGTCGCGCGTTGGGAACAGTGGCGAGCCCCCGCACCGAGGCCAAGAGTGCGGCCCTCCCCGCAGGGCCCGCTGTCGTCACACCGGCGGGGAACCAGCTCTTCCCTGCCGCGATCCACGACAGGCTGCACCGCACACGCATGAAGCAGGATGCACTCAGGAGTAGGCATGCACACAGAACTGGGCACATGTATGAGCTGGGCACAGGCATGGAGTCGGGCATATGCGCAGCACTGGCACACACATGAACTGGGAAGATGAATATGGAGCCCAGCGGTCTGTCCCCGGGGAGCCTGGTAGGGGGCAGCCCGCAGGCCCTGAGCCCCAGGCTGGAGGTCCGGCTGAGGGCAGGGGCCCGGCGGGGGTCCTACCCCACCTGTCTTCTGCTTTAGGAGGGTCCAGACTTGCCCTGTGTGGGGTCATGGACCATGCCCACGCCCACCCACACAGACCCCCTCCTTGCTCCCCTGATCCCTGGCATGAGGCACTCATGTGCCCAGGTGCCGCGGCTGGCCCTGAGGAGGGGACCCTGCCTTCCTGTCCAGAGATGGGCCTGCAGGAGCTCAGCCCCTGAGACAGGCCACGCTGGGGTCTGCAGGAACCAGGGGGAGGGGCAGGGGGAGGGGCTTTTCCTCACCTGTGCCCCCACCTGGTGCTCAGGGCTCAGCATTGGGTCTGGGTGGGAGCCCACCTATGCCTGGGGGGGTCTGCACCAGCTGCCCTGATGCCCCTGCACTGCCCCTTTGGTGCCTCAGGGGAGCCTCGGCCTCAGGTCACCACACACACTCAGTGCACACGCGCACACGCGCACACACATATGCACTGAGTGACCACACATGAACTCAGCGCGCACACACATACTCAGTGCGCATGCACATACATGCACTCAGCACATATGCACACACACGCATGCACTCAGTGACCACATGCACTCAGCACACACGTGTACACACACACTCAGCACATATGCACACACACACGTACTCAGTGAGCACACGCACTCAGCACACATGTATGCACACACACTCAGCACACACATGCACACACATGCACTCAGTGAGCACACATGCACTCAGCGCACATGCACGCACACACACTCAGCACACATGCACGCACACGCATGCACTCAGTGACCACATGCACTCAGCACACACGTGTACACACACACTCAGCACATATGCACACACACGCATGTACTCAGTGAGCACATGCACTCAGCGCACATGTATGCACACACACTCAGCACACACATGCACACACATGTACTCAGCACACATACATGCACTCAGTGGGCACATGCACTCAGCACACATGCACGCACACACACTCAGCACACATGCACGCACACGCATGCACTCAGTGAGCACACACGCATACACTCAGTGCACATGACACACACACTCAGCGAGCACACACGCACACTCTGAGCACACACACTCAGCATACACGCACACATTTCATGAGCACACAGGTACACACAGTGTGAGAACACACATGCAAGTCTGTGAGACTACACATATGGGCACACAGAACATGGGGGAGCCCCTATGCACACGCACGCACACACGTACTCCCTACACGCTTACTCTCCATATATGCTCCTGTGTGTCATTGCGTGTGACTCCCGTGCAGGTCGCATGGCCATGGTTGGCCCAGGCATTGGCCCCGGGGCCCCACCCAGTGCCCTGTAGGCGAGTCCCCGGCCTCGGAGCGTCGTGGGGGTCGCTTCCCTGGGAGGCTTCTTGAGCCCTGCCTGAGGCTGTGGGACCCCAGCCCCCGCCTTCATCTCCTAGAGGCTGGCCTGGCCAGGCCCTTGGGCCCCCACACCTTGGTGGCCCGTGGGTACCCGCTTCATGAGGAAGGTCCCACCAAGCGCCCATGTCCCTCTCCTTGGCAGGGCCATCCTGGGGCGGCTCGTGGGGGAGACTCCGACTCAGCTGAGGCTCCCGCTTGTTTGGGGGGAGGTGGGCCAGAGGGTGGCCAGTCAGCTGTGCAGACACTGACCTCAGGCTGGGCTGGGCAGAAGCACGGCGAGGGGGCAAGAGTGGGCCTGGGGGCTGGGCAGGACCATGAGGGGCAGAGTGGGCCCCGCCCCGACCCACAGAGGAAACCGCAGAGGCAGAGAAGATGGAAATGGCTCCCGGGCTGGGGCTGGGTGTCCCACCTCCTTCCGCGGGTCTTGGGAGGTCCTGGGCCTGGGAGACAGTGGCCAGAGGCCCTGCGAGGACCCCCAGAGCTGGCATGAGGGAGGCACTCGTCCGGAGCTCGGGCTCTGCGGTCCCCCTGGGCGGGCCCCTGGACCCCGTGTGCTCAGGAGGGCCAAGCCCAGCTCGCCCTGCCCGCCTGGCCCCCCACCTTAATCTCCACTCCTGGATGCAGGCTCCCAAGCCCCCCTGCATTTGTGGGCACTGCTGGCCAGCTGGAGCCTGACTGGGGGGTGACCCGGGATAAGAAGCAGCCTGGGTGCCCCTTCCTGCCCGCAGCCAGAGTGGAAGGGCGGCTGTGTCCAGCGGGGGCGTGGAGACCCTGCTTTCTGGGGTCCCAGGTGGGCAGTGAAGGGGCTGAGGCGGAGCCGCTGTGCAGAGGGGACCTGCGGGGGGCAGGGCAGAGCAGGGAGAGGGACTCATGTGCATGGGGTCCTCACCTAGCCCGGCCCCTGCTGTGCTCAGGGCAGCGAGAGGCGCGGTTACGCCCAGTACCAGGCTTTGTCACGTGCAGGTGGTGGAACTTCCTTCCTGCTGAGGGCAGTGGCCACCTATGGGAAGGGCAGGCTGGGGGGAGGGCACTGTGTCTGCACGCATGTGAGTGAATATTCAGCAGCACAGTCACGTGGACACACGTGTCCGTGCAGACAGGAGTGTAGCACATATGTGGTGAATGTTTATTGTGCATGTGTGTGGCACATATGTGTGGATGTGATTGTAACATGGGTATAGTTGTTGTGTACAGGTATGTGCAGACATGTATGTGCAGGTGTAATGTGAAGGTAGTGTGTAGGCATGTTTACTGCACACGTGTGTGTGGGCGTGAGTGTGGCGTGCATGGCAGGTTTAGTGTGCACGTGTGTGTGGTCATGAAGATCGGGTGTGCTCCCCCCTGAGCTCTGCCTCAGTGAGTTTCGGCTGCAGGCCCTTCGTCTGGCAGGTGCAGCAGTGCCCTCGTGGGTGGTGGTGTCCTCAGCGGGACCTTGGTGCCTCCAGGGCAGTGGCGGGGTGAGGCTCGCCCAGCCTTGGTCTGGCTCACGGTCGGCAGAGAGGGTGGCCTCAGTTTCCCTGGCTGGCATGACCAGAGCAGAGGCAGGGGGCCGTCCTCTGCTGAGCCTGAGCAGGGACCGCATGACCATTCAGGCCCCTCCCTTGGACCCTTTTCCTACCAGGAAGCCCCTGAACGATGAGCTTGCTCCGATGGGGGCTGGCGGGGGTCAGGTGCATCTGTGGTGGGGTCTGGGCCCCTGGACACTGGCCTCTGGGCATACAGCAGTCCCCGCCTCCAGGTGCCTGCGTGCAACCTCAGGCTTAGGCCACACCCGGTTGCAGAAGCTCCTTCCTGTTTGTGCCACTGGTGGGGATTGAGTGTCCCCATCACTGGCCAAGAGGCTGAGAGAGTCACAGCATCTGCCTCGCACACGCCAACCTGGGGTTGGTCCTGGCCCCCCGTGTGGCCCCCGAGCTGCGCCGGGAGTGATCCCTGAGCACAGAGCCAGGAGTCAGCTCTGGCACCACCAGGTGTGGCCCCAATCCCAAAACCCAGCTGAGGTGCCCCAGCCTGCAGGGCATGCGCTCAGAGAGAGCTTCGGGGTGGGGGGTGGGCACTGGGGGGCCCAGCTCGGACCCTGGAACTGGGTACACTGGGCTGGGCAGGGGTTCACGGTGTTTCAGAGGGTTCAGGGAGCAGGAGGCCACAGAGATGGGCATCCTGGGGGGTCCCAGGCAGGGCTGGGGGACTCGGGAGGCTTGCCTCACAGCACCCTCCACTCCTGCCTAAGGGCTGCGTGCCACCCCTGTCTGCTTCCCGAATGTCCTCCCCATTGCGATGACCCCTCACCCCTCAGAGCACCCATGGTGGCACGCACATTTCCGGCCCTGGGCTAGACAGGAAGCGCCTCTGGGAACTTTTCATCTGCCCCTTGCCACCCCTGCTCCTGTTCTCAGGGGTCCAGTGCTCGATCCTCCTGGCTCTGCCGCTGACCCAGCTCTGGGGATAGGACAGACCCAGGAGTCTGCTCAGGGTTGGGGCCCTCCAGGACAGGTGAGGGCACACGGCCCAGCTCCTATGTGTGTGCAGATGCACACAGGTGTGCGTGCATATACTCTATGTACATATGTGTGCATATACTCTATACAACTGTGTGCGTGCATGTACTCTATGCACATAAATATACTCTGTCACTGTCACTGTAACTGTCCTCCCGTTCTTCATTGATTTGCTCGAGCGGGCCCAGTAACGTCTCCACTGGAGACTTTTGCAAATATGTGTGCATATACTCCTACACATGTGTGCATGTATATACTCTGTACAAATGTGTGCATGCATGTACTCTAGGCACATGCATACACTCTTATGTGCAAATGTGTGCATGCATATACTCTATGCACATGTATTTATTCTATGTGCAAATGTGTGCGCATATACTCTATGCACATATGTGTGCATGCATATACTCCACCTATGTGTGCATTAACTCTGTACAAATGTGTGCATGCATATACTCTATGTACAAGAATATATTCTATGTGCAGACATGTGCGTATATACTCCATTCACATATGTGTGTGCATGTACTCTGTGTCCCATGTGCATTCCATGTGCGTATGCACATTGACCTGTGTGCTATGTATGTCCTGGGTGTGTGCCACACTGCATGAATCCCACATATGCATGGTGTCCCATGTGAACACATGTGTGTGTCCAATGTACACATGTGTCCTGTGTCCAGTGTCTGTAGGGTGGGGAGTGTAAAAACACATGTATGTCCATGAGTATGTACACATATGCAGTGTACACAATCCCGGGTACAATGTATTCTGTGTGTGTGTCCCGTGTGCTGTGTCCCATAACACATGAATATGCATGTATGTCCCATGTATACCACCCATGTGCCTATGTACACATGCATGTGTCCCTTATGTATCCTATGCACATCCATATCCCACACACGTGTCTTTTTACGTCTCCATGTAATTGAGTGTATCTTACATGTATATGTACATCATGTATGTGTGATGAGTGTACACCTCGTGTGTGTACATGTGTGTATACCTTGTGTGTATGTTTACCCATGCATGTGTGTGCACCCCACGTGAGTATGAATGTGTGTGTGTGTGTGTGTGTGTGTGTGTGTGTGTATTGAGTCCCTCAGGCTTTGACAGTGGTGGTCAGTCACCCTTCCATAGTCCTGAGCCACCAAACCCGCGGGAGTCGGGTGTGTCCACACTGCGCTGAATCTTGGTCTGGGAGGGTGTGAGCCCCCCAAAGGACCTGGGTGCTGGGCCTTAGACCCCAGGGCTGTGCATGAGGCCACAGCGGCACCCAGTGGCAGGTTGAGGGACTACAGGTGCCTGCTTCTCTGGGGGGTGTGGGGTGAGCTGGGTAGGGTCTCACGATTCTCCCCCACAGACGGCGCCCCCCTTGGCGAGCTCTCCTGGTCATCGTCCCTGGCCGTGGTGACTGTTTCCTTCTCGGGGCTCCTCATGGTCGTTGCCCTCATGCTGGCCTGTCTGTGCTGTAAGAAGGGGGGCATCGGGTTCAAGGTGAGAGACCCCGACAACTGTGCTCATCCCCGGACACTGGGGTCCCGCAGCCCACAGGCACTAGACGCTGGGGTCCCCTGGACCCGGCCCACAGACGCTGGGGTCCCCCCGTCAACAGATGCTGGGGTACCCCCCGGCCCACAGACACTGGGGGTCCCCCAGCCCCTGACCCCCAGACGCTGGGGTCACCCGATCCCTGCCCTACAGATGCTGGGGTTCCTCAGCCCCCGCCCTACAGATGCTGGGGTCCCCGGCCCCTCCCCTATAGACGCTGGGGTCCCACATGCTGACCCAGGCCGCACAGTGGACTCACTGACTGGCCAGGGGGCTCCTGGGGGGCTCCAGGGGTCTGGAATTCCAAGTGGCTCACGCAGGCGCCCGGCTTCAGGCCCGGGGCACAGGGCTGAGCGACCGCGTCCTACACACATTCCGGGGTTGGAATGCAGCGGAGGTGTTGGCCACAGATGGGGGGTGGGGGGAACAGGACAAAATGGGGGGTTGGGCCCTGGCTGGCCTGTGGGAAGAGGTCCTGCTGACTCGGCTAGAGCCTGTCTGGAGGTCAGCGGCTGGGTTCTCCCTGTCAGTGTCCACCCTAATGACCACGCCCAGTGGTGGGACCCCACTTCAGAGGCTCAGCAACCCCCACAGTTCCCCTGAAGGTGGCCGAGGCGCCAGCACAGGGAGGCTGGTGACCCCCTTGACCCAATCAACCTTCCAGAACCCTCCAGGGGGCTGCCCCATGGCCCAGCCCTGGGTGCTGTCCACAGGAGCCCCAGGACTGGTGGGCGGCCAGGCCAGGGGAGGGACTGGCCACTGGCACCAGCCCTCAGAGCCAGGAGGCACAGCCACGGCCCGTCCCTGGGACATGGTGGCGAGCCCGCCATGCTCACGCTGGCCTACCTGGTATCCCGCTGTGTGGGCGGCGTCTGCCGGGCCGTAGGGCGGCAGCAGGTAACGGCTGGGGGCCCCTGTGCCCGGCTCCATCTAGCTGGGGAGGCCAAGGCCAGAGCCAGGACCCCCGGGACCGACTCCGTCCAGGGGACGGGCTTGGCAGCCGTTTCGAGCAGCCGCCCAGGTGTGGCCCTGGGAGCTGGGGAGAGGCGCGGGGTCAAGGTCCGGCCTGTGGCGGGTGGTGGCGGCCTCAGAGGATGCGGTGGGCCCCGTGCTCCGGGCCCGCAGGGCAGCAGCTGGTGAGGGCCGGGGGGCTCAGGCCGGGTGCTGCCCCGCAGGAGCTGCAGAATGCCGAGGGGGAGGAGGAGTACGCCCCTGATGCCGTGGGGCTCGGCTCCCCTGCACCCGCACCCGCGCCCGCGGGGCCGGACGTCTACGTGCTGCCCCTCAACCAGGTGACCCTGCAGGGGCCGGAGCAGCAGGGCCGCACAGGTGAGTAGGGGAGGGTCACCACACAGTGATGGACCTGGCCGCCTGGGGCGGGCTGAGCACCCCATCTGACCCTGGCACTCCAGCACCCAGACTCCCCGCCCCACTCAGTTTAGGGCCCCCAGCCCACTGGCCCCCAGAATCCTCAAGGGCAGCCCTGCCTCTGTGGGGAGGGCACGCAGGGACGGGGACGTGGGGGACATGGGGGTGTGGGGTCAGTGGCAGAGGCAGCCCCTCTGGTCTGGTTTCCCTGATGCCGCCACTGTCCTGGGGGCCCCTGGCCTGCTCAGGAGACGCCAATTAGAGCTTGCACCTCACAGGGACCCCCTAACTCTGCCCAGCACAGGCTGCTGGCCCCAGGAGAACCTCCTCCCATCTCAGCTTGGCCCGCGGCTCCCCTGCACTGAGCGTGGGAGCAGAATTCGGGGAATCCCTTGGGGCATGGCAGGGCAGGAGTGGGCTCAGTGGTCTGGCTGACCCCTCTCCGCTGACTTCATCCGGGGGCCCGCAGGAGAATGGCCCCAGTGTGCTCCGTGCAGGGCTGTGCAAAGCAGCCCCCCAAACAAAGGCAGCTTTGGCGTGCCTGGCGCAGGAATGGCAGCCAGGGCGGGGCAGGGCGGGGCCTCTGTGCCCTCCTGCCCCGGGGGTTGGCTGCAGCCACACAGCCGCTGGGCAGTGCCCGGGCAAGGCCCCTCGGGCAAGTCACTTTGGCTGGGGCGCAGGTCTGGACCCCGGGAAGATGCCTGGAGCAGCCTGCTGGCCTCCGGGCCCCTCGAGCCTCAGCAGCCCTGCCTCGGTGGGGCCCCTGGGAGCAGGGGAGCCTGAGTTGGGCTTCTCGCTCTTCCCTCCCCCTCACAGGACAGCTGCTCACTGCCTCGGACCTGGGCCGGCAGGATCTCCTGCAGCTGAAGGACATGGGGCACGGCTGGTTTGGGAGGGTGAGTATGGGCATGGCTGGTCGGGTGAGTATGGGCACGGCTGACCTGGGTGTGTGGGTACGGTTGGTCAGGGATGAGTGTGTCCCCCAGACAGACCTGGGGCAGGGATGGAGCCGGCTTCTCTGTGACGGGCACACTCAGGTATCTCAGGCCACCACCTGCGTGGACCTTCTTTGGGGTGCTCAGGGCAGAGGCAAGGCCTTTCTGTCCAGCTCTGATAGCTGGAGACTGGGGTGATTGAGAGTGGGGGCACCAAGGATGGCTGAAGTCCTGGCCCCCAGCCTTGACCAGGCACCAGTACCCTGCCCTGGGGTCCATCTGCGTGACCGGAGGCACATGACCAGAGAGATTTGGAAGGAGGCGCCCGCAGTGACGTGGGCCTTTGCAGGTCTACCTGGGTGAGGTGCCCGCCGGCAGCGCGCGGGGCTCGCAGGTGGTGGTGAAGGAGCTCCGCAGCGGCGCCAGCGTGCAGGAGCAGTTGCGCTTCTTGGAGGAGGCGCAGCCCTATAGGTGGGTGGCGCAGAAGCGCGGGGCGCGGGTACTGCCTAGACACAAAGGCCGCCAGGCCGAGCCGAGTCGCCCCGCCCCCTGGCCCCGCCCCAACGAGTGAGCCCGCCCCGCCCCACGAGCGAAATAGCCACGCCCGTCCCCTTAACCCCGCCCCAACGGGCGAAACAGCCACGCCCACCCATTTAGCCCCGCCCCAACGAGAGAGCCCGCCCCGTTAGCCCCGCCCCTACCTCGAGCCCCGTCCCATCCCGCGGACCCGCCCCGTCCGGTGGCGGCCCAGGGCCAGAGTGTCCCCTCCGCAGGGCCCTCCAGCATGAAAACCTGCTCCGGTGTCTGGGCCAGTGCGCCGAGGCCACGCCTTACCTGCTGCTCCTGGAGTTCTGCCCCGTGGTAGGTGACCGCCAGCCCCACCCTAGGGCCTCACGCCCTCTCCCCCAGGAAGGCCTGTTGGGGTGCGGCCCCGCACCCGCTGCCCGCGTCCCTCACGGCCCTCCAACCTCCCGGCGAGCCGCCCTGTCCTCGTGACAGCTGCCCTTTTCCGCAGGGGGACCTCAAGGGCTACCTGCGCAACTGCCGCGTGGCCGATTCCCTGGCGCCGGACCCCCTGACCCTGCAGCGCATGGCCTGCGAGGTGGCCTGCGGCGTCCTGCACCTGCACCGCCATAACTACGTGCACAGGTGAGCGCCCGCCCGCTGCCAGGCCCGCGACCCCCGGGGCTGTGCGGGAAGAAGTGGCCGCCAGCCTGGACGCCGTATGGCCGTCCTCCACAACAACATCCTGGTGCTGAGTGATGGCACTGCGACTCCAGCATCAGTGATTTTGTTGCAGAGGGCAGCTGCCAGCCTCCCGGCCCGCCGCCCGCCCGGCCTTGCCCCGCCCCGCCCCCTGCCCCGCCCCACCCCGCCCGGCTCCCAGCCCTGTCTCGCCCCGCCCCCTACCCACCCTGCCCCGCCCACCCAGCTCCCTGCCCCGCCCCGCCCCGCTCCCTGCCTCGCCCCGCCCGGCTCCTTGTCTCGCTCCATCCCACTCCCGGCCCCGGCCCGCGCCCCGGCCCGCACCGCCCCGCGCCCGCCTGCGCCCCCTGGTGGCAGTGCCGTGGCCCAGCATGCTGCACCATTAGCCGAGGGGCCCCGACGCCTAAGTGGCCACAGGCTGCTGGGGGAAGCCCAGGGCTCGTTGCGGGGTTGAAAATAGTTGAGGCGGGGTAGCCCGCACATCTGCAGGTATGCCAGGAGGGCAGCTCAGTCTAGGTGGTACAGGAATAGATCCCCAGTACACTGGGGACCCCTGTTCTTGTCTCCCCAGAGAGCAGGCCACAGCAGATGGCAACCCGTATTAAGGGTCCCTGGGCTAGAGCACCGTGGGGGTCAGCAACTGGCCAAGCAGGCTGGGGGTCTGGTCCCAGTGAGGCTGGCCATTGAACTGCCATCCTGGCTGGTGTTTGAGGCTGGCCCTCGGGAACTCTGTAAGTGCCCGGGGTGATGGGTGGCCCCCACCCTGCTGAGCTCCCTCTCCCACCCCTTCCCAGTGACCTGGCCCTGCGGAACTGCCTGCTCACGGCCCACCTGACAGTGAAGGTCGGGGACTACGGCCTGGCACACGGCAAATACCGAGTAAGTGGGCGGGGACGGGCCTGCCGGTGGGAGGGGGCGGTCCTGTGACACCCGCCTGCCCACAGGAGGACTACCTGGTCACCGCTGACCAACTGTGGGTGCCGCTGCGCTGGATCGCACCCGAGCTGGTGGACGAGGTGCACAGTAATCTGCTGGTGGTCAGCCAGACCAAGGCCAGCAACATATGGTGAGTGCTGGGGCCTGGGCCCGCAGTGCCTGGAGTGGCAGGTTCAGAACACCAGAGAGGGAAAGTCTGGGCACAGCCGCCACTGTCCCACCCACCTCCACGAGGTCTTGGGGGTCGCTGGGTCACAAGACTAGCCTGGAGCCTTCCTGGGCACCCCCTCCCTCAGACCCTGGCCACATTCCCCACATGCTGCACCTACACCTTGTGGAGGGGCGGGCACGGGCGAGTGAATGGTGGGTGGAGGCTGGTGCAGGTGGGCACAGGTGCCAGGCCCAGATGGAGGCGAGCCTGGCTTTAGGGAGAGGTTCAGGTGCCTGCTATCACCCAGGAGCTCCTCCTCCTCTACGATGGACGCTGGGCACCGCCACCCCCCCTCCACCCAGTGTCCGCGTGGCCGCCAGCGCCTCTCGCTGTCTCCGCAGGTCTTTGGGGGTGACGCTCTGGGAGCTCTTTGAGATGGGCGCCCAGCCATACCCGCACCACTCGGACGGGCAGGTGCTGGCCTATGCCGTCCGCGAACAGCAGCTCAAGCTGTCCCGACCGCAGCTGCCATTGAGCCTGTCAGAGCGCTGGTGAGCGGGCGCGGCGCGGCGCGGGGCTCGGGGCGCGGGGCGGCGGGGGCGGGGCGCGGGGACGCAGCTGAGCCCTGCCGCCCTCAGGTACGAGGTGATGCAGTACTGCTGGCTGCAGCCCGAGCAGCGGCCGTCGGCCGAGGAGGTCCACCAGCTGCTGACCTACCTGTGCGCCCAGGGCACGTCCGACGCGGCTGAGGAGGACTTCGAGCGGCGCTGGCGCTCGCTGAGGCCCAGCGGGGGCGGCGCGGCAGCGCTGGCCCACCCGTCGTCCTTCCCGCTGCTGGAGCGGTTCTCGGGGGGCAGCGACGACGTGCTGACCGTGACCGAGACCAGCCGCGGCCTGGACTTCGAGTACCAGTGGGAGGCGGGCCCCGAGGCCCCGGCCAGCGCGTCCGGCGCGGCCCCGGGGGTGCTGCCCGTGCTCAGCGCGCACAGCCCCTCGGTGGGCAGCGAGTACTTCATCCGGCTGGAGGAGCCAGCGCCCGCCTGCCACGACCCCAGTCCCCCGGCCTCCCCCGGCCCAGACCCGGAAGGTGGCGCTTTAGAACCAAGGCTCGGTCACCCGCTGCCCACTGAGGGACCCCGGGATGACCGTGACCAGAGTCCGCCCCACCCTCTGCAGCCGCCCTCTCCCGGGCTCACCACCCCGGTGGAGAGGGGCCCCCTGGACCCTGAGCCACGCCAAGCTGCCCGCTGCCCCGCCCCTTCTGAGGACTCCCTAGCCACGCCTCCCTCAGCCGTGCCCCGGGACTGCTGCCCACTGGGGGAGTCCAATGCGTCCGCTAACAACAACAGCGGCCACAGGGCCCCGTGGCCCCGGGCTGCCAACCACGGGGACGGCTGCAGGGACAGCTGCCCCAGCCCAGAGCATGGCCCGCAAGCCGTCCCCGAGATGGCCCACCCCCTGGCCCCAGAGGGCCCCCGAGAGCCTCTTCTGGGGCTCCAGGCCACCCCTTCTGGCCAGGAGCCATGCCGTGGCCTTAGCTGCCCCCGGCTGTGCCCTGCTGTGGGCCTGGCTCCTGCCACCTGCCACGTCACGTCCTCCTGGACAGAGGCGGCCAGATGTGGAGGCGATAGTCCCCAGGCAGAGCCCAGGCTGGCGGAGGAGGCTACGGGCGCCCAGCTCCCCCACCCCTCCATCCCATCCCCCGAGGATGCCCCTCTCCCCGCCGAGGCCGCCAGTGCCCCCAGCGGCCTGCCAGCTTCGCCCACGCCGGCCAGTGGCTGCCAGACAGCTGCCACGGAGCCTTGGACTCTGGACCCTGGCAGCTGCCCCTCCCAGCTGGACGCGCCAGGCAGCGAGGACGAGGACACGGAAGGGACCCCTCCTGCCGCCGGGACCGACTCTCCCAGGGGCAGCCCGGCAGCCGAGGGGCCGGGCACGGTGCCCACCTGCCACCACTCCCCGCCCAGTCAGGTGGGAACCCCCGGCTCCCTGCGCCTCCCGGCCTTGGCCAGCGAGGCCGGATGCCAGCGCTTCTGCCCAGTGGCTGCGGGGCAGCCCCGGGCGCCGGACAGTGGCTACGACACGGAGAACTACGGGTCCCCTGAGCTTGGGGCGTCTGGGGGGCTGCCCTCGGAGGGTGGCAGCCCCGGGCCGGAGTCTCAGTTGTCCACCCCGCTGGGCAGCCTGGGCGACAAGAGCCCCTACCGGGATTCCGCCTACTTCTCGGACCTGGAGTCCGAGGGGGAGCCGCCCACAGGCCCCGCGGAGAAGCCGGGTCCCGCCGCCCCCGGGTCGGGGCCTGGGCCGGGCTCCCCGCGCCCCAAGGTCTTCGTGCTGACGCCGGTGCCCCCCGAGGGCCGGCCTGAGCAGGAGGAGGACAGCGACGACAGCGAGTCGGACGAGGAGCTGCGCGGCGGCAGCGCGCGGGAGCTGAGCGAGGACAGCGAGGAGGACGTGGCGCCCGTGGTGGTGGTGGCCGCCAGCCCCGGCTGCCGCCTGCGCAGCCTGCTGCGGATGCCCGCGCGCAGCCGCCAGAAGAAGGCCGTGTCCTTCTTCGACGACGTCACCGTCTACCTCTTCGACCAGGTGCGCGGCGCCCTGCGCGCGCGCGGCCCGCGGGCCCGCGGGACGCCGAGTCACGTGCTGCTCTGACCCCACCCCCAGGAGAGTCCCGCCCGGGAGGCCGGGGACCCCCGCCCCGGCGCCAAGGACTCGCCCCCCGCCTCCCCCGGCGGCCGGCCGCGCCCAGCCCAGCGACCCCCGGAGGGCTCCGCGGCCAGAGAGGGTGAGCCGGGGCGGGCGGTGACGTCACGGGAGGGCCTCCGCGGGGGCGTCAGGGCGGCACTGCCCATGACGTCACGCGGCCGCACGTGCTCGCAGGCGCCGCCTTCGAGTGGGGAGACTTCCCGCCGCTGAGCCCCGGGCAGCCCGTGGCCGCCACCCCCGCCAGGACCCCCAAGCCCGCGGTGCCAGGACCCTCGTCCCGCTTCACCGTGTCGCCCACCACGGCCGTGTCCCGCTTCTCAATCACGCACGTCTCCGACGCCGACGCCGACGCCAGGTCTCCGCGAGGTGAGGCTGCGCGGGAGGCAGGGCCGCTGGCCTCCTGGACACCGCGGCCGCGGCTGACCCCGGGCCCCCTGGCTGCTCTCCTCCCACGGGCGCTGCGCCCGGCCCTCTGTACCCCTTCGCGCCCTGCGGTGCCCGCCCCGACGCCCGCCCCACCCCGCGCCCTCCCCAACGCCCACCCTGCTGCCCCACACCCGCCCCATTGCCCACCCCAATGTCTGCCCCGCGTCTGCCCTCCTGCCCACCTGCTGCCCGGTGCCGGCCCAGCACCCGCCCGGGCGCGCCTGTCTCCCCGTCCTGCGGGAGGCGCTGGCACGGCCGCCCTGAGGGGCAGGCCGGCCGGGGCGCTCACAGACTCCACCTGTTTTCCAGACCCCGCCGCGGATGTGGGGGGCTGCTGTGATGAGGCGTGAGCCCCGCAGCACCCCAGGCCCTGCTCCAGCTGCAGAAGGGATGGTCAAGTGTGGTGGCCGCCTCTCTGGCCCTGCTGTCCCCATGTGCAGGCTGGACTGCCCTTGGCGCTGGCTGGACGGTCACGGGGGCGGCCCACTGGCCTCTGTGCCCTTTGCTTCGGAGTGCCCGGTGAGGATGCCAGGCTCACGTGCTCCCCCTTACCTCAGAGTCTGTGCCGCCTGCCCTCACTGACCCACAGTGTCCTGTCCACACCCCGCCGGGCCAGCTCCCACCTGGTCCCCCAACTGGAGCCGGGGTGAACAGCTCCCACCCGACTCCAGGCTGGTTATGAGCAGCTGGGGCTGGCAGTTCCTCTACACGGAGCACTGCCCTGTCTAGCTGCCAGTGCACAATGGGGCCACACCCCACGCTTGGTGTGTGTCGGATGCCGGCTCAGAGATGGGGCATGGGGCAAAGGGCGCCGGGCAGGCACCGGGATATTTTTGTGATCGCTGAGCGAACGGAAGCGCCAGGCCCTGCCATTGTCGCCAAAGAGATGTGAGCTCACTGCTGCCGGGCACGCGGGGTTTGTACTGTTTCGCGCGAGGCTTCGGATGCTGGTGCAATGTTTTTCTGGTTTCTTTTTTGTTTTTTAAAGAGAAACAAGCTGAAAAAGAGCCTTGGACTGAGTGTTTTGCTTTCCTTGGGGAAAGGGGGTAACATCTTGGTAAGATGTTCGGGCCATGCCCGGTGGTGCTCAGGCTCCCTCCTGATGGACTCGGCAGCCTGTGTCAGGTGCCATGGATTGAACCTGGGTTGGCCGCGTGCAAGGCCAACCCCCTCCCCGCTGTCGCCAGCTCCACCCTGGCCTGGCGGTGGGGCAGGCTGCAGGCGGCCCCGGGGCTGGGTCCATCCAGAGCTGGTCCTGGGTGCAGTTGCCATGCTCGGGACCCCGTGGGCGCCGGCCAGCCATCCATGTCAAAGCTGAGAACAGTGAGACCTTTGTATCCTGACAAAGTAGGGGGCAGCCAGCAGGCGGGTGGGACAGGACCCCCGCATGACATGCTCGGGGACCCGGAGTTCAACACTGGCCTCTCATGACGAGGCCGCTGGGGCCGAGACATGGGTCTGTGCTGCTGGTCAAGGGTGGTTTTGGTCCTGCTCCCCTGGTGATAAACCACGCAAGAAGACACGGGCACAGACACGTTTATTGAGTGAACAGAAGCTCCATATGTGACCTTGCAGCCCGATTCTGGTCCATGGCGGGGCCACCAGCCCCTATGTTTGCCTTGTCCTGGAGGCCACCGCCTCAGTGACGCTGGCCACCACCTTCAGGCAGCAAGGCAGGGTTTGCTCACGGTGTGAGCAGCAGGACTGTCATCGGAGGAGGGGGGCAGACCTGTCATTGGTCACTGTCGGCCTTAGCTGGACATGAGCAAAGGGATTCCTGAGGAGAGAAGACAGTGGCTTTAGCTTGGGGCTCGCTGTTCCCCTCCGTCCCCACCCTTTGAGCGGGTGCAGGCGGTGGGAAGAGCTGGGAGGGCAGGTCCATGGGGCCGGCTCCCCCCAGCACCCCCCTTGCCAGCGCTGACCCTAGAGTGGCAGCGAGCCCCCAGAATGTGGACGCCCACAGGTCCACTGAACTGTGGCCTCAGAGGGGCCCATCTATGAACAACATGCCCCACACAAGCAAGCAGCACCGCAGCAGGCCAGCACATAGCCCTGGGGCCGGCCCCACAGGGATACCCTGCAGGGCGGTACACAAAGAGGCCCAGGCAGGGGCCACATAGACACGCCCAGGTGGGAGGGCCACAGACACGCCCCAGTGGGAGGGCCACAGAGACACGCCCAGGTAGGAGGGCCACAGAGACACGCCCCCAGTGGGAGGGGCCAGACACCCCCAAACAGAAGAGGCCAGACACTCCCCTAATGGGCGGGCTACAAAGACACGCCCAATGGGAGGGCCAAACACATATCCCTAAACGGGAGGGGCCAGACACACCCCCTAATGGGTGGGCCAGAGACATGCCCCAAAGGGGAGGGGCCACAGACATGCTCCCTGTGGGAGGAGCCACAGATACACGCCCCCAACAGGGAGGGTCACAGACACGCCCCCAGTGGGCGGGACAACAGAGACACGCCCCAGTGGGCAGGTCAAGTAAGACACGCCCCGGTGGGGGGGCCACCGAGACAGGGCCCAACAGAGAGGGCCACAGGCACTCCCACGGGCACTGACTGCTCAGACACACTCGGACGCGGCGGGCAAAGACACGCGCCTCCTTGGCTCACGCATGGGCGATCGCAGTACGGACGGACATATGGCCAGACAAGAGGGTGACGGAGCGGGGAGCCGGCGGTGCCCGGGAGCCCATGCACAGATGAAACGAGGGACACGAGGGCTGCGCGGGCAGGAGCGCCTGGCGAGGCTGGGCGCTGAGCGTTACCTGGGCAGGTGTCCCTCCGGCGCGGGTGGGCTGGGCGCTCTGCAGCTGCCCGTCTCTTTTCCTGAGAACTTTGTTGCTTTAAAAATTCAGACTCTTTGTATGGAGGGCTTAAGGCACGGGGCAGTGGGGGGGTCGGCATCCTGGTGCCACGCTCCGCGGGTCATACCCTGAGAAAGCACCGCCCAGAGCTTCTGCCGTGTGTGGACAGGCTTCGGGCTCATGCTGCTCTGGAGGCGGGGCAGTGCGACCCCCTTCCCGAGGGGCAGGTGACCATCCCTGCGGTAGCTGCGGCCACACCTGCAGCGGCTACACTGCAGGACATCCCTGCAGCCCCTCCTGCAGCCCGTTGCAGCCCGGGCCAGAGCAGGGCAACGCCCCTTGGCAGCACCAGGACCGGTGCAGTGCCCGCTGCCTCGTGTGGACTTTGTGAAGCCAGGGGAGGCGGCCTAGAGCCTGGCTGCGGGCAGGGCCGACACTGAGACCAGGAGCCCCATGTGCAGGGTCCCCGCAGAGCTCTCCTCTGCAGAGGTGCGGGGAGGCAGGCACTTCTTCAATGGGCAGCCACCAGTCAGGAGAAAGAACCCTGCAGTGCCTGGAGTCTCCTCCTGGCCACGCCCCATGGGAGGAGTCTTCTGGCCACGCCTCAAGGGATGCTCCACCTGGCCATGTCCCCAGGGGCCAGGCCCTTTTGGGCTCAAGGTCCCAAAGCAGGGACACTGGCAGGACCTGAGGCAGGATTCTGCTGGCAGCAGGCAAGCTGCACGAGGCAGGACCCAAAGGTCCTCCCAGCGCTTGCAGCCACGCACACGGCACAAGTCCAACGCTGCCCAGCCGCTTCCGGGGGCTCAAGGGCAGTGCGGGTGGCAGCAGTCAGAATGCTTTTGCGAGAACGTGCCCAGTCGGTCGGTTTGTCTGTCCGGAGCAATGCTTAGTGCTGGCTCAGAATCCGCTTTCCGAGGGCATTGCCCTGACCAACTTGCTGGGCGTCCACACCCCTGTCCTCTGCTAGGGACTGGGGCTCAGCTGCATGGTCCTCCAGCTAAGGGGTTTGGGTGGAGGCCGGCAGGCCGCAGAGGACGGGACCCGCGAGTGGCCTCTACCTTCCTCCACCTGCCGACCTCTGTCCTCCTGGGAGTCTTCCCGGGTGGGGCAGTGCCCCCTGAGGAGCCAGGCCCCAGGCTTTTCCAGCAGCATCTGCCTGCGGATCTTTCCAGAATTCGGCTGGCAACCTCCAACAGGACGTCAGGAAAGGGGACTCTGCCAGCATGGTCCAAAGTGACCATGGCGTTGGAGACCTCCCATGGGACACAGTGGCACCATCCTTCAGCAAAGGGGGCGAGAGCGAGTGCCCGACAACAGGCATGTGGGCTCTCGTTGGACGTTCAATCCCCGATACTGGCGCAGAGCCCAGAGCCCCACCGGGTAAGGACAGGCCCCTGCAGCCCTCCATCAGCAACCCTCCGCAAACAGTCCTGGGCCAGGCTGGCTGGGCTCAGGTCCCGGCAGAGAGGACAGAGCAAGAATGACCACCAGGTGCACCCTGCTTGCGGCCCAAGCACCCAGCAGAGGCGGCTGAGACCCAGACAGGCCCAGAGGCTGCTCCCAGCAGTGTGGGGGCCGCTTGGCCCCGCAAGCTTCCGGCGGGAGAGCCAGCGCCCAGGAGAGGCGGTGCAGACCCAGCCGGGCGGGAGCGGGCACTTACTGCTCTCGCCAGGGGCTCAGAACCGCGCTACTTCCACTTCTGGGCTGCAAGGAGAAAGGGGATGTTGGTGGGGGAGGGGGTGCGGGGCCGGGGGCCGGGGTTCTGCCTGGGGTTAGGAGTGGACAGCAGCAGAGCGGGAAGGAGGCTCCACACCCAACTCAATGCAATAAATAAAACTTTTATTCAAACAATGGCAGAACCGGGCACAATTCAGATTTAAAAAAAAATAAAAGGAGAGAGAGAAGTGAGGCGGGCAACTTGACGCCTTAGTCCGAGGGTGAGGGGGTCTACATTCATCCTCTGAGCAGGGCACCCCTGCGCTGGAGTCTGTGAGCAGAAACAGACTCGGGGTCGCTCGAGCTGGGTCACTCGTCAGTAGAAAACGGGGCGTGTGGTGGGCGTGGGCCCCAGAGTGGGCGGGCAGCGAGGCTGGGCCAGTAGGCAGAGCCTGCGCCTCCCTGCAGTCACCGAGACACGCGGATGGGGCGCGTGGCAGCCACCGGGGGCAGGAGCCGCTGTCCAGCCGCTGTCCGCTCATGCCCACGCGGGGCGGGAGGTCTTTGGAACGCCCGCAGGTGGCGGCGGGCTCCCTCACCGGAGGGGGCTTCCTCAGGAGGCCCGCGGGGGGCTGAGGGCCCCGGCGGCACCAGGCGGTCCATGCAGGGTGGGGCGGGCAGGAAAAAAGCTTTTTCCTGTTTTTTTTTTTTTTTTGGTAAGATTTTTTTCCCCCCCCAAACTCTAGGCCTGGCTCACGGTGAGCCAGGGCGAAGGGTCAGTGGTCCTGGCACACAGGTGGGGGGCAGAGGTGGGCCCCCGCCTGGCGGGACAGCGACTGGGGCCGGCCGGCGGGGGCGGGGGGGCAGCACCATGGACCCTGGTGGACCCCAGAGTCTGGGTCACCAACCAAAAGGCAGGGGCGGCCGTGGGGTATGGGAGATCAAAGCAGGGGCGGGGAGGCGGAGGGCGCAGGGGGCGCAGCTCTCCCGGGCCTCAGACCGTGGACACCAGCGTACCGCTGCCGCTGTGGACAGAGCACAGGACGCCGGGCCACTTGCACCCGCGCAGACACCCCAACCAGCCCCGCCCAGACCCCATGGCAGCCTGGCCTGCTGGCTGCCAGCAAGACCACGGGCTGCCCCTTGCTGTCCCCTGCCGAGGGCCGTCCACGCCCACGGAGCCGCTGCCTCTTACCTGCTCACGGCCCGTGCCCCGTAGTCATCCAGGCCCTGGAAGGAAGGGGACAGTCAGGGGCACACCTGCACGCCTCCGCTGGAGGGGGCGCTGCGGTGGGGCAGGGCGAGGCCGGACAGCCCCCCACACCACTGGGACTCAGGCCCTTCTTGTTGGCTTAGGGGCACACCCAGCAGTGCTCAGGGCTGACTCCTGGCCCTGTGCTCAGGAATCACTCCGGGTGGCCTGGGGGAGACCAACGGGGCCAAAGATTGAACCTGCGTCAGCTGTGTGCAAGGCCAGCGCCCTCCCTGCTGTCCAGTCCCTCCAGCCCCAGCCCAGAGGGCCTCCCTGCCACCTGCCCAGCACTTGCCTGTGAGAAGGCGGGCACCGCCACGCTGTAGGGCCTCTGCTTGAAGGGCGCCGAGCTCTGGGCTGGGAAGGCGCGTGCTGGGCCATAGTCAGGGGGCGGCAGTGCCAGGTCATCCTTGTCCAAGAGGTTCCCGGTGCTGCTGCTCTTGCCCTGCTGGAGGCTACAGGGACAGAACACAGATACCACCCGCTGCTCCTGGGGCAGTGCTCAGATGCCCCAGCTGCTCTCTGACACCCTCCAAGAGTGAGACCTGCTCTATTTCCAGGTCCTGCAGCCGCTCAGGCCCTGGGGCACGAGGGAGGCGGGGCCTCCCAGAGCACTGTCTGGACACAGGGTGACCGCTCACACCCCAGCAGATTGGCAAGGAGACCCCAAAGCTCTCTGGCTGCCTCCCGCAGGGGCTGCTTACCTCATGTGCAGCCGATCACTGCCGTCAGTGTCCAGGACCCGTGTGTAGGAAAAGGGGAACCAGCCCCGCCTGCAAGGGGACCCCGGGTAAGAGCTGGCTCAGCTGAGGCCTCAGGTCCCCCGCTGGGCAGGGGGCACTGAAGGGGCTGTGCGGGGTCTGCCTCGGGGGTGGGCGGGCTCACATTTTGGTCTTCTCGCTCTCGCCGTAATGCCAGCCGTCGCGGGCCTCCGGCACCAGCAGCGTGATGAGGTCGCCCTCCTTGAAGCTCAGCAGGGTGCCGTTGTCACCCGCCGCGTGCGAGAAGATGGCCTTCACCCGTGGCCGCCCATTCCGCTCCAGGCCGGCCGCCATGGAGCTGGAGCGCGGCAGTGTCTTGTTCTCGGCTGTGGGCAACAGGGCAGGTGAGGGGCCACAGGAGCCAGCCACGGTCCACCCACCTCCTGTGCCCTCCCCCGCGAGAGCCCGCCTGTCCTTCCATGGCTGGGAAGGAGCAAGAGACCCTGACCTGGCTCCAGCCCTCCTGCCCTCTACACACCTCAGCCTCAGGAGGGACGACAAAGCCCTCAGGCCCAGAAGACGCCCAACAGTCCCCAAGTGCTGAACACAGACACCACACACTCAGAGTATGGACACGTGTGCGCAGAGAAATGCACAGGCACGGACACGAGACCACATGTGCACACACACATGCATACACAGGCACACTAAGAACACACACCCATGAACATATGCACACACACAGGCATGTGCACGTATGCACAGAGGCACAAACTAAACACACACATGAATACGTGCACACATGAACATGTGCACACAGACAGGCACACACATACGCTGAACATACATGAACACAAAGGCACACATGCAAACACGGCACACACATGTGAATGTATGCACACATACACAGCACCCATGAAACGTGGATTCCCCAAGGCCCTCAGGGCGGGGTCACTTCCCTGAGCCGGGTGGGCGGGGCCTTACTGGTGGCGTAGCTGTTCTTGGGGGTCACACTCTTGCGTACGGGCAGCGTGTTGGAGTAGGAGTCGCTCAGCTTGCCCTGCGCCTGGGAGGCACCCGAGGACTTGGACTGGCCAGCCTTGCGCTCGGCCCAGGGGCTGTAGTCCTCGCCGTCGGGGCCCGAGACACCGTTCATGGTGGGCGCGTTCTCCTGTGCTGACAGCCGCTGCAGAGAGAGGGGCAGGGCTGTGGCCCGGGCGAGGCCAGCTGGGGACTCTGGGCCCCCGCGCCGAGGTGGGCCAGCGCCACCCGAGGCCCAGGACTCACCCCCACGAACGGGGCCAGCTCGGGGGGCACTGGGAGGGGCTTGGCCCCTGGGATGGGGTCGGAGATGAGCAGGTTGGACTTGGAGGCAGACAGGGCACTGGGCAGCACGGAGCCGTTGCTGCTGGCCAGGTGCTGCATGAGCTGGGCGGCGCGGTCCGGGATCTTGTTGGGGTCGGCGCAGGCCTGTTGCCACAGCGGCAGCTTCTGGGCCAGCAGCTCCTTGCCCTGTGGCCAGAGGAGGCGCAGAGGGGTCAGGCCGGCTAGGGCCAAGTCAGGCACCCGCCCCTCCCGGCCCCTGCGGGCGCCACCTTGGAGTGGTAGGCGGCCGAGTTCTTGGCCACGGCGCACTGCTTCTCCACCAGGAAGCAGAAGCGGCGCCGCTCCTCGGTCAGTGCTGTCTTGTAGCCATCCGACACGTAGCCCTCCAGCTCGCCCTGCTTGCTGCTGATGGCGTCGATGTACTGCGGGGACAGGAGGTGGTGAGCAGGCGGGCACCGAGAGGCCCGCTGGGGGAGCCGTGAGCGAGGGTGTGAGCGTGGCTCAGGCAGAGTCAGCGACGACTTGAGGCTGGGCGGGAGGGGCAGGGACACAGCCTGGGTGCGAGGGTCCCCACTGTGGGTGAGCACCCGGGCCAGAGAGGGCACACGGGACGCAGAGGGGCTGCCGGGAGTCCCGGGGTCACGTCTGGACCTGAGAAGACCAAGGTTTTGAGGCCTAAAGGGAGGCCACAGCACAGGGGCGCAAGTTTGGGGCCAGCGGGAAGCGGCTTCCTAGGGGTGCAGGGCCAGGCCAGCAGGGCTTGGCCACCACGGGGCCGCCCCTCCTCACAACCCGTGACAGGCCCCCAACTCTCGCTGGGTGCTGCGTGAGGGTCCTTGTGTTGGGCAGTGATGTTGGGCACCTGGAACCTTTTCTGGTGTTCAGATTGGAAACTTTCTGCAACAAAGCCCTCAAGAGGCTGGGCATCCCCGTGGGAGGAGGGGCGCCCCGTGGGGGGGTGGGTGGTCCTGCGGAGCCATCTCCCGCCGAGTCCGAGAATCCCAGGGCCCCCGCGCTAGGCCCTCCACCCCCACCCACCCGGCCTTGCAGGCGCTGGGCCACGAGGGGGCAGCCTCCCCCGCCGCTCTGACTCAGCGCAGTGGGCGGCCGCCAGCTCGAGCTGGAGCAGGCTGTTCCTGCCGCCTCCCGGCAGGCTGGAGGAGGGGCCCAGGTGAGCCTTGCGGGAAGGGACGCCGGGAGCCGCCTCAGCCACCTGCACACAGGCCAGCCCTGCCAGAGGCCCCAGCCACGAGGCAGACCCCTGGGCAGAGGCCAGGGAATACGGGCCTCCCCCCGCCAGCCCTGGACTGTCACCAGACAGACTCGCACCTGCTGTCCTCTGGTATAGGGACACCACACACGTAAACACATGGGCGCACACAAGCACGTACACGCACATGAGGCCCATGTGCACACACAGATGCACAAGAGCAACAGGCATACACACAACACGCACATGTGAGCCGTGGGCACTCGCAGCTTGGCACGAGACCTCCAGAAAGCTCTGGGAGAGGAAGAGTCAGCCGGGGGTGCCCGCAGGACCTGGTCTAGCACCAGAGCAGAGGCCCCAGTGGGACATGAGGGACGTCCAGGACGCCCCTATGCCCTGTGGGATGGACGCAGCGGCCCCGCGAGCGGGTCAGCCAGGGACAGCGAGTATCCGGGACATGGGCCCCCAGGGCCCCTCGCCAGGAGGGCGGCTCCTTGGCTGCCTGGCCTGCACGGTTTCTGGGTTTTTAGGCCGCAGCGCGGGCTCCCTGGAGCAGAGACCCTGCGAGGGGCGTGCGGGGGCTCTGCGCCTGGCCTCGTTAGCAGGGAGGGGCCTGCGAGGCAGGGCGGTGGGGGGATGTCGGCCTCCTCACTCCCCGGCACCACCTTGGGACCCTTGAGCACCGCTGGGTGTGGCCCCCGAACCAGGACCAAGTGTGCCCGCAGGGAGGCGGGGCTGGCTGGGCCGGGGGCGGCTCCTGCCCGGCTGCGCCTTCTTGCTGCGGTGCTATGGTGACGCTTCAGCGAGCCCAGCTGAAAGCATTCAAGCCCACTGAGTCACCGGGCTCAGAGCCTGTAATCCCAGAAGACAAAAGTCTGCAGTGGCTGCGCGTGACTCAGAGCGGTGGGGGTGCTCTGAAGCCCGGCCCGCAGCCCCCAGCCCCGCGGCTTGGGAACAAATGAGACCCAGGGCACATGGTCCAGCACCTGCAGCACCGCCCCTCCCTGGGGGTCCCGCAGGGGTCCGGCTGCATGGTGGAGAGGCCCTGACTACCCAGTGGGGCCTGCGGGCAGGCATCAGCCTCTTGGGCCCCGAGCTCTGGAAGGAGGGGCCACGTCCCCAGGCTGGGCAGGGGAGGGTGTGTGCCCTGCCCCCGGCAGCAGGAGATGAGAAGTTAGGGGGGCAGCTTCCTCCAACCCCAGGCCTCCCGGCGCGGACCCTGCGTGCTAGCCGCGGCTGGTGGAGCGGCCAGCCCAGCTCCCAGCTCTGCCCGGCTCCTCTGAGACCTAAATTACGGTGCTTTGGTTTGCTCTGACAAGCACAAGCCCTTTAAATAGAAAGAGTCGCCCCCTTTCCTCAGCCCAAACCCAGAGACGCTTCAGAGGGGGCCCCCAGCGGGGGGCAGCCGGGCCGCACGAGGTCACTCAGCACCGGTGGGGCGGCCGCCTGACCCGTCCACACTGCAGCTGCCTGTGGCCTGAGAGCTTCAGCCCCAGTGGGCACTGCGACCCGGCCAGGAGCATGGTAGGCCAAATCTGGGACAGAGTGGCCAGGGGTCGAGCAGCCTCGCTGGGGACAGTGGCCCACTGGGATGGGGTTCTCAGGGGCACTTGGCGGGGTCTGTGGCTGTGTCCAGGCCAAGGGGCCCTCCCAGGCCGGTCCACAGCCTGACCCCTGAGACTTGCTGGGTGCTGCCCTCCCCTTAGCACTCACCCTGACAGGCCGGGGGCCGTGCGCCAGGTCAGCAAGCTCCCCCCCACCAACGCTTCCATCCGCTCTTCCCAGACGCTGCCCGTCTCTGTTCCTGCGTCCGGAAAGGGGTGGACGCTGCCCCTGCCCAGACCTGCCTGGGACACCCCATCGGGAAGCTCTGGCGCGGGGGTGCGGGGAGGCAGTGTCCGCCCTGGCACAAGGCCCCCGTGCCGTCCAGCACGCTCCGGCCCATCCGCCCTGGCTCCCTGCAGTGCCAGCGTGGGCCGGGCCAGGCGAGCGGGGAGAGCCGGGAGGGACCACGAAGCCTCAGTAGCCCACTGCCCGGTCAGGGAGACACCGGCCGGGTACAGCCCCAGGGCACAGGGACACAGCCCAGCAGTGCTGGGAGACGAGGGACACAGTCGGGAGTGGGGACACGGGGGAACAAAACGGGGGAGGGATCGACAGAGCCCAGGGAAACGGCCTGAGGGACACGGCCCAGGGAATTGGCCTGGGGGACACGGCTTGGGGACAGGCACAGAGTGGGCCTCTATGCAGTCTCCTCCCCACCACGACCTACGGTCAGGCCAGGGTGTGTGCAGGGACCCTGGGCACACCCTTGAGGCCGGGCAGCAGCAGGAGAGCCGGGGTGACCCTCCCCGCTCTTGTCTGAGCCCGGGAATGGGCGCCCCGCACCCAGAGCCCGGCAGAGGACCCGTGTTCCCCACAGGCCGCTGCGGCCAGCCAGGGCCCCTCATCGAGCACACGCCACGGGCACAGGGAGAGCCGCCTTGGCCCCAGCTGCAGCCCCACCGCCGGCAGGAGACGGGTCGGGCTGGCGGGTGGGCAGCGCTGGGGGCAGCCCTGCCTGTGCCCCCCACCTGGGCCCGTGCCCACCTGCAGCTCCTTGTCCGAGTACTTCTGCGGGTTCTTGCTGCCCTGGCTCTTCTTGCGCAGCTTCTTCAGCTCGGCCTGGCACTTGTCTAGGGCGTCGCCCTTGCCCCTCTGCTCCGTCTGATACTTCTTCAGCGCAGCCTGGGGTTCGAGCACAGCCCACGAGGGACGTTAGTGCCGTCTCTGGGGGGAGCCGGTGGGGACAGCGGGAGGCCGCGGGGGGCACTTACGCTCAGGTATCTGGAGTCCAGCTCCACCTTCTGCTCCAGTTGTGTGAGCAGCTCGTTGTGGAACGATTTCAGCTAGACACGAAGAGAAAACGCGGGCGTGGGGCTCAGCAAACACCAAGACCATGGTCTGGCCGGACGCCCCCGCCCCCCACTGCCGGCCGTGCTGGCCTCCTGCCATGGCCTTCCTCCCTCCCTCACTGGCTGGCACTCACCATCTCTTCCAGCTGGTTCTGGATCTGCCGGTGGACCTCAGCCATCTGGAAGAGGACGTCCCCTGCGGGGGAGAGGACGGGTCAGAGGCCGGCACCAGGTGCCACGGGCCAGTTGGGGGCAAGGCCAGAGGCCCTCTGGCCCCCAGGAACAGACCAGGGCGGGGAAGCTCTGGAGCCGGGTGAGCTGCCAGATCTTGGCACGAGAGACAAGTCTGTGCCAGCGGTGAGGGTCCAAGCTGCAGTTGGCCACCGGCCCAGCTGGGGTCTTCCTGCACCCGGACACACAGGGGGAGCTGCTCGGGGCAAGCCTATGGCCCCAGGTGGGGTGGGAGGCCATCAGTGCCACCGCCTTCCTGGGGGAAGCAGAGCTCTGAGTATCACGGGACCCCAGACGTCGGCCAGGAACTTAAAAAGCCCACGTGCCCCCACAGGACAGCAGGGCACCACTCCATTTCGCACCTCCACACGGGCCATGGCACTCGCACATGGGCCACAGCACCCGCATGCGAACCACGACACCCGTCTGTGAACCATGACACCTCCTTGCGGGCCACGGCACCCACACGCGGGCCACAGCACCCGCATGCAGGCCATGGAACCTCAGCACAGGCCACGGCACCCCCATGCGGGCCACGGTACTTCCCTGCAAAAGCCTACATCATCAATCATGCAGGTCCATGTGACCCCCCCCCCCCCCACGCAGGGGCCCACATTTATGTGGTCACTTGCCTCAAAGCACAGCTGGGTCTGGCTACTCATGGCCATGAGCAGCTGTGGTCACAGCAGTGGGCTTGGGGACAGTTCCCACACCACAGGGTGTAAGTCCACTCACACTGCCCCACGCACATGTGTGCTGCGCCACACGCTCACATGTGCTCCACACACGCTGTGAGGCCCAAAGTAGGCGCTCAGCAGCTGTGACAGCCTACAGCCAACATGAAGTCTCAGCCAGGCCTCAGTTTCTGTTTCCCCAAAGCAGGCCCTGCAGTTTCTGGTAAACTCCCAGTTGAGTAATGTGCCGAAATAAGGAATTGGGCAGTTGGGTCTGGCTGGTCATGAGGGGTCACTGCACCCTCCTTAGAGGGTGTGTTAACTGTTGCTAACCATTGTCTAATTGCTGACCACTGTTGTAATAGGGCCGATGCTAGACATAGGCCAGTATATAAACCACCTCTTAACTCTGAACCCTACCCAAACCGCTTGGGATTTGGATTCGGGGTCCTTGACAAGACTCCACTGCGTTGGATGAGACTCGGACCCTAGCTTGGGCTAGCACTGGCTCGGGCTAGTGATAAAGTTCCTTTGCTTTTGCATTATGGTGTGTGGACCTGGTCTCTCCACAATTGGGGATCTGAAACTCGGGCACGACAATGCTCCCCCCACACACAGACATGCTGCTCCCCACCAAAGGGGAAGGGACGCACCATTCCTGCTGCCTGCTCAGGGCTCCCTGGGCGCCCGGGTGGACACTGCCACATTGCAAGGGGCCCCCCAGCTCCTGACACGCCGAGTGCGCCCCTGCCTGATCTGGCCATGTGCCCTCAATGCACACACAGCCCAGCACCAAGGACCGTTGCCCAGAAACTGCTCTGATGCCTCGAGGAAGGACCCCCAGGGCACTGCTGTGCCACAGGCCTAGGCACCCTACCCCTGCTGGCATCAGGTGAGCGGCTGCGGGCAGCCCCGGAAACAGCGCCAAGGAGGGCCCAGCTCACTCTGCCCCGCTAGTTTGGCACCACTCCAGCGGGTTCTGGGCCATGGCCTGGGGACGGGGCAGCTGCAGACACAGGGCCAGAGATTCTGTGCCAAGGACCCCCATGTGTGGGGGCGACAAGTGCCTGGGGCCTTGCTTTAGCTGGACCCCTAGTTGGGGCTTCAGCCCAGCCCCCAGGTTTCAAGGGAAGACCAGACCGAGCGCTGGCCTCCGGTGACACCACAGTCACAAGCTGAGCCTGGGGACTGCTCGGGACCACCCAAGGGGAGCTGCCACCACTGGCCAGGGGCCCGGATGGGGATCCAAGGGAAGCCCCCTGGTTGCCACGGCAGCGGCCAGCAGGCCTGACCCCAGCATGTGGGCGGCAGGGAATCCCAAGCGGTGAGTCACGGCACACCCAGGAGTACAGGGGCCGCTTTTCCTGGCCCTGCGCCAGGCCCCGGGGGAGGCGGATCCGGGCCGGTGGGGACACACATGCACACATGTGTGCACAGAGCATCTGGGCATGTGTGAAGCAAGCCCCCTGCCTGCCGTACTCACTCACTAGACCCCCTGGTGCTCAGGGGACTTGGCAATTTCAGGGTCCATGGGGCCTGGCGAGTGTGCTCAGCCCACGTGCTCCTTGGTTTGAGGGCTGAGCTCGGCAGCAGAGACCCAGCAGCCTCCCAGCCACTGTAGCTCGGAGCCAGGCTTGGGCCCGCCAGGGGCACTGTCAGGGACAGGCCCGCCAGCACGCTCTGTCGGCAGCTGTGTGCCTCAGGCCTGCAGAGCCGAACCCAGGGCACAGCACCTGCCCCTCACCTCCGGAGTCCGGCCCCCTCTCTCTGCCCCCGACAGCTCCTGGTTGAGGGAAGCGCGCAGTGCTCCGGTACTGGGGCCACCCCAGCCATTCCTGGGCACGGAATGCAGGCACCTGCACCCGGGGTAGTCGGGCCAAGGGCAGGTCAGGGTGGTCACTCCTGAGTGTGGGCTCTGTGGGGCTCTGTGAGGCGCCCGTGTGTGGGTGTCTGACCCAGGGGCGGGGCCAAGCGGAGGAGCTGCCTGCAGGAACAGCCCTGTCCCGTGGGGATGTGACACTGGGCAAAGGAGTGTCAGGAGCCAGGGCCAGGAGTGACCAGCAAGGCCATGAGAGCTGGGCCAGGCCCTGCCCTCACACCCCTTGGGGCATTCTGTGGGGAGTCAAGGCCCTACAGGGCTGGTGTGTGCACATGTCTGTGTGCATGCATGCTAGCGTCGACACGGTGTGTATGTGCCTGTACGAGCACACATGTGCACATGTGCTAGCATCGATACAGCCGTATGTGTCTGTGAGCACGTCAGCCTCTCTGTGGCTGTGTACGTGTCTGTGAGAGCACGCTTGTGCCTGTGAGAGCACCTGTGTGACTGTGCCTTGATGTGTGCTGTGCGTGCTTTGCATGCATGTGTGCGCATGCACTGGTGTGTACCACATATACGTTCACACACACACATGTGCCAGAGCACGCCTGTGCCTGTGCGGGCGCATGAGCGAGCCCAGGATGGAGGTGCTGGCGGGCAGATGGCTGGGTTTGCCGGTGGACTGCACCGGGTCTGTCTGGTCGCTCCCTCCCCCCGCGCCCTTGACTCAGCAGCCGAGACTTCTGCCCACTCTGGCAGGCAGAGCCAAGGTGGGGCGGCGTGCACTACCTTCTGGAACCTTCTGAAAGAAATACCCAGGCTGTTTGATCATTCTGGTGGCTTTCAGAGCGGAGAGGTGACTGGGAGGGCTTATATGCCAACCCCAGCGAGGCAGACCAGGCAGGCGCAGGGACCCTCGTCTCCTCCATAGCTGTGCTCCGCTGATAGGGGCACCTCCGAGACAGACGTGGGGCATGCAGTGAAGGGGTACCAGGCCAAGGCTGCCAAACGCTGACATGGTGAGCAGGCAGTGCCCTGCCAGGGGTGGGCACTATCAAAGCACACAGCAGCCACGAGGGGACAGAGCGAGAGGATGGGGGAGGACCCTGCCTTGCACGTGGCCGACCTGTCTCCTAAGCACTGCCAGGAGCAAGCCCTGAGCAACCTGTGGGCCCCCAGACATCGAATAAATAAAAACTAAAGTCTCCACGGGGTAACAACCCCCACCCACACAGCAGCTTCGTGTCCATGCAGGCTGGGCCCGGCTGGCTCCTCCAGGCCGCCCTTCCTGCCCGGCCTGCCCTGGGCCTCAGCTCGCAGTGCCTGCAGCACACCCAGCACAGCTCCGGGTCCAGGGCGCCACCTGGGATGCCCAGGGCAGTGACCTTCTCAGTCCCTCAGGGGCCCGAGTACGGCCCTAGAGCCAGGGCAGATGAGGTAGGTTGGGGTGGGGCCCTCGGGAACGGCAGGGGTGTCAAAGGGCCTGGACAGCTGCTAACCTGGGTCTGATTCCTGAAAGAGCCTGGACTGAGCCCTGAACACGGTCAGGTGTGGGCCAGAGGCGCAGAACAGTCTGAGCTGAGCCCTGCTGGGGACAAGCCACCCGTGGGGCCAGGCACTCGGTCGGGTGCCCACGGACCTGTTCAGAAGGTCCCAGCTGCTGGCACAGCCCGCCCGTGGCGCGCTGCGGAGACACTGCACTGAGCCCCATGAAGCCCCTCATCAGGGCTGGGGCCGGGGACCCTGCAAGACCCTCTCGAGCCCCACCAAGGCACCCCCACAAGGAGCTGAGCAGGACAAGGTCTAGCCTGGCAGCTCGGCCCCGAGACTGGGGTGTGGGCAGGCACTGCTCACATACCCGAACCCCTTTTCTTGTGCTGTGTGGGCTCCCAACCTCCCATGGGAACGAAGGGGCGAGGACGCAGCCAGGGCTCAGCCACATGACTGTCATGGGTGTGGAGGGGTCGGCCCACGGGGCACAGCTCTGAGGTCCTAGAGGGGCCCTCACTGGCTGCCCCCAGCCTGTGTGTTGCCGCGGCGGCCGGCTCAGTGTCAGGGGCAGTCCCCGGGCTGTCCCCGCACAAGCAGGCGGGAGTTCCGGCCACACCTGGATCTACTGACTCAGGGCCCAGAGCCAGCCTGGTGGCCCAGTTTCGGGGTGGGGGATGGGAAGCTCCTTCCGCCCCAGGCCCTGGCCCGACCGAGCCACAACAGGCGGCACGGTGTGGCAAGTGCGCACACGCCCGGGCGCAGCTGGGGACATGCAGGGCAGCCCCACAGGGGCCGTGCCCAGAGCACCGAGCGGCCTGATCTGGCCCCTGCAGGGGAGATCGTGACCCGCTGTCCACTGGACTGACCCGGGCCCCAGGCGATCCTGCAGGCTGCACGGTGGGGACGGGCGGGGGTGGGGGGGGCGAGGAGTAGCACAGCCCAGAGCGCGGGGTGGGGACGGGAAAGCAGAGCTCGGCACACACTGCAGGCGCTGCCTGCCCAGGAGAACGCGCGCTATGCACGACGCGGGGAGGCTGGGACGGGAGGACCGAGTCAGGGGGCGTAGACAAGGCGGGACACTCTGCATGGGTGGGGATGCCCTGGGCCTGCGACCCTCCTGGCAGAGTGGCCAGTTCCTGCCAGAGCTGGGCGGGAGGGGGCGGCAGGGCTGGATCAGAGGCAGGCGCGCAGTGTGTGGGAAGTGCCGGGCCAGCCCTCGCTCCCCGGGTATCAAAGCCGCCAGTGCCGGCGCAGAGTCCAGCTCTGCGGGCAGGGAACGTGGGGGTGGAGATGACAGCTCCCCCGCCCGCAGCCCACCTGCCGGCTCAGACCTTGGCTGTGCCGGCTCCATGCCAGGCCCAGGGCTGCCTCAGGAACCTTACAGGGAGGGTGGGTACTGCTGGGGGCGGGGCTCTCACAGGAGGGAGGGTGTGGGCAGGGGTCTCTGGGTAACATCAGAACCCACTCCTCCACAAGGCTCACAGCAGCAACAGGCACAGCCGACATCTGTCAACCCAGGGAGAGCTACTGGGGAGCCCGCGCCAATTTGAGGGGAGCATCAGGTCCAACACAGGAGGGGAAAGATGGGGAGAAAAGGTTGTCCCCCACCCTCCCCCCCTTCCTGGAGTTCCTTAACCCCAATGGAACCAGCAGGAAGTCCCGGGAAAGGGCGGAGGAAGCCACTGGCTTTGCAAACGGGAGATTAAGTCTGAAAACAATCTAGACCAGAGGCACTGGCGCAGGGCCGAGGCCAGGCACACACTCCCTGCTCCTGGGACAAAGGCTCAGGGCACCCTGTCCTAAGGGAGGCCTGAGGGTGTGCACACAGATACTGGCACACGGATACCGGCAGACCCCGGCACACACAGATAAAAGCGCAGATACAGGCGCACACACAAATGCACACAGGCACACACAGACGCAGACAGACACAGATACAGACACACACACACACACGCACGCAAAAGAAATGCATGCATAGATGCAGACGCACAAGCAGACACACATACTCACACTCTGTTCTCTGTGGGAGGGGAGGCCACTTCCGCTGGCTTCAGGAAGGGGCCTGGGAGGAGGTCAGGCTGGGCCCCGCCTGTACGCCCGCGCTTGAGTGACCCAGACTCGCTTGGTGAAGCCAGAGGAGGGGGCTGCCGGGTCATCCAGGGGGTCCCTCGCTGGGACCAGGGCTAAGGACTCCAGCAGAGCTGCCACGTCTCCCTGGCACTGCCCTGTGGCCCCAGCGCACAGGACTCCACCTCATGTGGCTGGGAGCAGGTGGACCTTGGGGCCCCCGCCCTGCCCGGCTGCACAGTGGCTGCTGTTCATGGGGGGGGGGCAGGGGCACGGGTACTGCCCACCAATGCCAGGCGCACAGAGTCCTGGCCGTGCCCGGCCCATCCTGGGCCCCAATGCTGCCGCGGGGCGGCTCTGAGCCAAAGACTTGGGGTCCTGGGGAGCGCTCAGTGGCTGGAGCACAGGCTCCAAGGCCGCCAAGCTCCCCGTGGGGTTACAAGAGCAACTGATCCCCGAAAAACATCGGGGCCAGGGAACCAGTGGGTGGGGAGGGCACCAGCTTGTATGCAGCTGAGCTGAGGGTGGTCCACGCACCCCATATGTCCCCGAGGCACAGCAGCCCTGAGCACCGGTGGGCGTGGCCCTGAACCAGGAGCAACAGGGGAGCTGCACTGGGGACCCTCGGCTCATGGCCACCTGGGGTCGACGCCCCTCAGCACACTGTTCCCAAGCCCTGCCCAGCACAGTGTGGTGACCCAGCCAGCAGGCACCACAGTGTTTTCGGGGTAGGAGAGCTGTGGGCGGAGAAGCTGGAGGCTGGGGGAGGCTGGGGGAAGCCGGGTGGGGGGTGCGGTAGGGGGGAGGCTGAGGAGAGGTAGGGGGGAGGCCGAAGGGAGACCGGGGGAGCCTGGGGGAGACCAGGAGGAGGGAGGTCGGGGAAATCTGTGGGAGGCCAAGGGGAAGTCGGGGGAGCCCCGGGTAGGCCAGGAGGATGCCGGGGTAAGCTCGGGGTGGCCGGGGACAGCCTCTCTCTGCGCAGAGAGGGTAGGGGCCAGGCCTCCTCTGAGTCAGGATGAGGAAGCTGAGCTGCATGTTTGTGTAGGCACATCAACAGGCTGGAAGCACATGAGACACATGGCAGGGCACACAGCAGGTACACGACAAGTACATGACAAGGCACACAGCAGACACACAGCAGGGCACCTGGCAGGGACACAACAGCAAGCACCTGATGGGGCACACGCAGGCACACACACGTACATGCACAGGTCAGCGCCCCAAGGCAGCGGCCTGACTACGCCGACCCCCTCCACCCACACCCACGTGGCAGCAGGAAGCTGGGGGCAGAGGCTGCTTCTTCGCCGGCCTCAGACACATGTGACCGTGTCCCGAGAACAGGGAACCCAGGGCAGAGTGGGCTGGAGGAGAGGAAGGACCCCACCTAGCCCCGCCCCTGCAGCCCCCACCTGGCAATGTGGGATGAGAAAGCCCCAGGGATGCAGCCCAGAGACTGGGAGAGGCCGCACCACTGCCCAGCCTCCACCCAACGCCGCCCGGCTCGGCTCACAGTGTCTTCCTGGGACTGGGAGCAGCGTGACCTTGAGGATCAGTGGAAGGCCAGCACAGGCGGGGCTATACCGTGCCAGCCTCTGGGAAGCCCCAAACGCACGAGTGTCGGGGAAAGGGGCTGCAGGGGACCCCCAGGCCGGGGCTCTGCGTCCTGCGAAAAGGGGGAGGCTGGGGCCACTGCAGGTGCTGGAGGGGGCGCGTGGGGCGTGAGGCCTGTCTGTTGGGCGTCCCCAGCTCAACCCATGGCGGGCGGCGGGCACTGCCCACTGCCCCTCCCTGCCCTCAGGCGGCAGCTGTGCCCCCTTCCTCCCCGAGGCGGCTCTTACCCAGCTCCTTGGAGCCTTGGCTCTCGCTGGCCAGCTCGCCCATCTTCACCAGGGCGTCGAAGTAGCCCTTGGCAGCGTAGGTCACACCTGTGAGAGAGGGACTGTCACCACGGCCTGGCTGGCCCGACCCCATCCGAGCTCCATGCCCGAGGGCTGCAGCCTTCATCAGGGCGCCACCTCACATGTGCAGAACCATGAACAAGCATGTGCCCACAGCCCACCTCTGCGGGGGCCCCCCGCACGTGGGTCCCAGGTCCCGCAGCCGGGCACCGAGGGCAGCCACGGGTGGGGTGGCGCTGGGCTCGTCCTGCTCGGGCCCGTGCTGCCCCTCAGGCGTGCCCCCAGCAGCCGCCTGGGAGTGCGTCACGGGCATTTCCGAGTCTGTCCAAGGAGTGTAGGGTGACAACGGACAAGGTATAGACTGATGCGTGTCGCCCACCCGGCCCGGCCCCCGCCGTGCTCACCTGCCAGGGCCTTCTCGTAGTTCTTGCCCATGGCGATGAAGTTCCGCAGGCTGGGGTTGAACTGCTCCATGATGGTCTGGGGGGACAGAGGGAAGGACACGAGTAAGTCACAGGCCCCTGGGACGTGTGGCCCGGTGGCTGCCTCAGTCTCCCCATCTGCAGGGTGGGCACAAGAGAAGGGCAGGGTGGGCGGGCGGAGTTGGGCATCTGCTAGTGCCAGCCCCAGCTTGGCACTGCCTTCTGCCAGCCACCCAGGGTCCCACGCACTCGGCCCGCAGAGCCCGCAGCACCAGGAGCCCTGGGCCCGTCCGTGGCCCACGCACACGGGTCACGGTGCCAACGCCCACAAGACAAGAGAAACCAGGTTCACTGAGAAGAAAGACATTGTGACAAGGTGTGCGAGCGACTGCCAAGTCCAGGGAGGGCCTGCTGGGTACGAGGCCCGCCAGACCTGCCCTTCAGCACCCCTGCACCCCGACCCCTGCAGTTTGATACAGGGGTGATACTGCCCGGGGGGCCCTGGAGCCTGAGCCCTGCCAGGAGGGGACTCCACAGCAACAGGAAAGGGAAGAGACAGCTGGAGAGCAACAGGCTGGGTGCTGACCCGCGTCAGTCCCCAGCACCCCACAATGTCTCTGAGCCCACCAGGAGTCCTGAGCATCACTGGGTGAGGCCCAAAATGAAACAAAAAACAAAAAGCGGAGCGGTGGGAGGAAAGACAGCCCCTTCCTCAGGGCAGCCCAGGCTCCCCGGCCCTTAGTGGCCAGCAACACCCACGGACCCACAGCTAGACGTCAAGAACACAGGTCAGCTGCTGGCCTGGAACAAATTCCAGGCTGTGTGTGTGCAGGTGTGGGAGCATGTGTGACCGTGTGTGACTATCTGTGGGAACACGTGTGACTGTGTCTACAGTAACGTGTGTTGACTGTGTGGGAGAATGTGTGACTGTGTGACGGGGTGTGCTGGGGCGTGTGTGAATGTGTGCGGGTGTGTTGGAGCATGTTTGTGGATGTGCTGGGCATATGTGAGCGTGTGTGGGTGTGCTGGGGCATGTGTGAGCATGTGTGAGTGTGCTGGGGCACGTATGAGCGTGTGTGGGTATGCTGGGGCACGTGTGAGTGTGTGTGGGTGTGCTGAGGCATGTGTGCATGTGTGCTGGGACGTATGCAGGTGTGCGGGGGCAAGTGTGAGCGTGCGTTTGTGCAGGGGAGTGAGCATGAGAGTGTGCGGGGGTGTGAGAGTGCAGGTGTGCACGTGGTGTAGATGTGGCGTGTCACCCTAGTGATGGACACTGGCTGGACGCTGAGTCCGAGGTGTGTGAATAGCGCCCACACCTGACCTGTGCTGTGGTACTGAGGGACCCAGGGGCGTTGGTGGCAGCCTTGAGCTCCGGGTAACAGGCGCGGCTCCCGGGGTGGCTGAGCTCACACACGAGGAATGTGGAGCCCAGTGGGCAGGGCAGGGTGGTGCTCAGGTGCCTGCCAGGTCACCCGGGCAGCTGGGACCTAGGTCTGGAGAGGGGCCAGGGGGGAGGCCGTGGGGCCGCCGCCCAAGGGGCTCCTCCTTCCTGCACCACTGGGCACTTCCTGCCCGCCTGGGGGCCCAGCCAGGGAGAGGCTTCTGACCGGGGCTGACCGGGAGTACCTCCAGGAAGAGGTTGCCGGGGAGCACCTCCAGGGAAAGGCTGATGGGGAGCACCTCCAGGGAGAGGCTGACAGGGAGCACCTCCAGGGAGATGGGGAGCACCTCCAGGGAGAGCCTGGGGAGCACTTCCAGGGAGAGGCTCCTGAACAGGGCTGACTGGGAGCACCTCAGGGCTCATGGCTCTGTGGGGCGGGACTGAGTGGTGGAGGAGGAGCCATGGGAGTGTTCTCTCCACCCCACATCCTGCCCCCTCTCAGTGGCCTCAGGTCACGGGTGAGGCCCTGTCTACCGTGAGGAGTTTCACCCTACGAGAGGGCTGGCCTGCTCACAGCGATTCTGCGCCCTCATACCAAGTTAGGAGAGTGGGCCTGGGCCCCCCGCGGCGCTCAGAGTCCACCCGGCGCCACTTGCTGGTTGGCTCTGGGGTCTGGCAGACCCCAGGTGGCAGACAGGGTGAGGAGGGCCCATGTCTGGGGTCCCTGCAGGATGTGATGGGGTCACCCCGACACCCACTTGTGTCTCTGTGGCCATGGCACAGTGGTCATGCTGGCATTGAGGACACCGGGCAGTGGGCACCGAGCCTGCCCTGAGACAGCAGTGACTAGCTCCAGCTGCTCTGCAAGGTCGTGCCTGCTTCCGGTCAGCGCGGGGCCCTGCTGTCCTTGCCTTGGCATCCCCACTTCCCAAGGGTAGACCAAGCCATGCGTGTGCACATGTGCTGTGTGTGCTGTGCACACGGCTGAGCCGGAGCACATGCAAGGGGTCCTGTGACCAGGCTGGCACCACCCCGGGCAGCGCAGCGGGGAGCTGGACCAAGCTGTGGGCACCGAATGGCGGTTCCTGTCCACCGCACTAACCGTCCCTCGCGCCAGGCCAGGGAGCAGAGGCGGGAAGGCTCCCCTGGGTAGCTGAGCTGTCCCACCCCCATCATGCCCTCCTGCCAGGGGCCGCGGGCACAGAGACCAGAGGGGGAGGAAGGAAGCGGACTTGGGAAACGTGCAAGTTTGGGCGTCTCCGCGGGGTGCACAGCCCCAGGTGCCCCGGGTGGGATGCCACGGCCCTCAGAGCATAGACACGACCCCTACCGTGTATCCCGGAGCACCCAGCAGCCAGCGGACCCTCCCACGCCCACAGGAAGCCCAGTCGGCTGCCTCCACCCACCCCCACAGGAACCGGGCACAGGGTCCAACGGGGCCCAGCCGGCCGCTTCCTTCCTGTCCGCGGAGCATCCTGCAGCCAGCAGCCACCCCTCCCCCACCCCACGCTGCCCACCTGCCCGGAGGGGGAAGCAGCGTCCCAGCCCCGGGGGCACCAGAACCGCACACCAGGACACTCCCTGCCAGGGCCTGGTGGCTCGGGCAGTCAGACCAAGTCAGCAAGTGGCCACTGCACTCAGGAAGAGGATGGACCACGGGTTCCTTCAGTGGCAGCTGGCCTCTACTGCCCTGTGTCAGAAGCTTCCAGAAGCTCCACAGCAGCCGAGCCCTGCCCCTTCTCTGCAGCAGGGGTGTGCAGGCCGCTGGGGGGCACCCAGATAAGCCGCAATGCCTCCCGTGCCACTCCCAGCACACACCTCTCGGGGCACATGGGCAGCAAAGCCCCCTGAACCACACGAGTGCCGGCGGGGGGGCCCAACACTGCACCCCAGTCAGGGGGTCCGGGGGAACCTGCCAGCCCACACGGTTCTGGAAAACACGGGGGAGGCGGAGCTCAGCCCCCCTGCTGCCCAGTGGTGGTCCTGCACCTGGGCGGGGCTCTCGTTCCCCCCTACCGGGGCCTGAATGGGCACAGAAGCGGGAGGGAAGGCGGGACGGAGGACGATGGCAGCCAGGGGAGCTCACTTCCTGGAGCGAGAGCTGGAACCCGCCCGCCCTAGTAACTGTCCCACCGCCCCCGTGGGGAGATCCAGCCGTGCTCCCACACTGGCTCCAGCCCCGGAGTATGGCCACACCCTGGGGCTGTGCCCCCCAGGAGGCCTCAAGGACGTGCAGGGCGGGTAGGCCAGCCAGGGGGTGCTGGCACCCAGAGTGGACCCAGCTGCAGACTGGTCCAGCATTCTGAGCCAGAAACAGAGCAAAGTGGACACAAGTTGGCGGGAGAAGCCCCCTGTGGCAGCAGTGCCCGGGCCCGAGAGCCCGAAGGCTGCTCTAGCAGCCTCACCCGCACTCCGGGTGCCCAACGCCCCCAACACAGCCCTGGAGTTGCTTCAAACTGGCTAGTGCCCCTCTCACCCTCCATCAGCCCTCAGAACCCCAGAATGCCCCACCAGCCCATCAGTGCTGGGCCAAGGCTACACACGAGCTCAAGCACTTGAGCTTCCCGGGCTCTGCTGGGGGGGTAGGGGGCTCAGGCTGAGGGTCCCGGCAGCCCCAGGGGGCCAGGGGTGCAGGGAAGAACAGAAAGTGGAGGAAGGGGTGACTCCAACTCAGCAGCCCTGACTGCACCTCCAGAGCAAAGCCACAGGCACACCGCCGTGCACGGGTGTGTGCACACACACCTGTGCACATGCATACCATGTTCCCCATGCACAAGCACCCATGCTCCATGCAGACCACGCCCTCCATGCACGTGCACTGTGCTCCACACAGATCACGCACAATGAACATACACCTGCCCTCCACACAAACCACACTCCCCAAGTATACCCGCCGAGTTCCACGCAGACCACATACCCCCTAGTACACATACCCATGCTCCACGGAAACCATACACCCCACCACCAAATACACACACCAGTGCTCCACACAAACTACACACCGCACCCATGTGTACACACACCTGTGCTCCACACAGACCACACACTCGGTGTACACACACCTGTGCTCCATGCAGGCCATGCACCCCCAAGTACACATCCGTGCTCCACGCAGAACACGCACCCCCTGAGTACACACACCTGTGCTCCATGCAAACTAAACACCCCACTCCCAAGTACACACACATATACTCCTCACAGGCCACGCACCCCCTTGTACACATCCCCGTGCTCCACGCAAACCACACATCCTCGAGTATATACCCCTGTGCTCCACTCAGACCACAACCCCGTGTAAACACACCCGCGTTCCACGCAGACCACATACCCGAGTACACACTCCCGTGCTTTACGCAGACCATGCACCCGTGTACACACCCCATGCTCCATACAGACCACACACCCCATGTACACACACCTATGCTCCACACAGACCACGCACCCCCAAGTACACACTCCCATACTCCATGCAGACCTCGCACCCGAGGTATACACATCCATGCTCTATGCAAACCACATCCCCTCTTGCACACATACCCATGGTCTATGCAAATCACATTCCCCCATGTACATGCACCCGCGCTCCATGCAGACAACATATCCCCACATACATGGACCTGTGCTCCAGAAAGACCAACATTCCCACATACATACGTCTGTGCTTCATGTAGACCATGTCCTCATGCACACATACCTGCGCTCCATGCAGACCATGAGTCCTTATACACATGCACCCGTGGTCCACATAGACCACACATCCCCCCCCACACACGTGTGCTCCATTCAGACCACACACGCTTGTGCTCTGTGCAGACCACACTCCCCATTCACATGCACTCATGCTCCATGCAGACCACGAATCCCCATGCACACACACCCATGCTCCACGCAGACCACGAATCCCTGTGCACACACACCTACGTTCCACACAGACCACACACATCCCTGTGTACACACACCCATGCTCCAGGCAGACCACACATCCCTGTGTACAAACACCCATGGTTCCATGCAGACCACACATCCCAGTGCACACACACCTGTGCTCCAGGCAGACCACGCATTCCAGTGCACACACACCCATGCTTCATGCAGACTGCGCATCCCTGTGCACGTACCCTCATGCTCCACAGGCTACGTATACCCATGGACATGCCCCCATGAGCCATAAAAGCACACCCCTGTGTACACCCACACTGCTCACACGTGCGTACCTGTGCACTCCCGCCAGGGCGGCCATGGTCATGCATGCGCACACGTGTCCCTGCAGCTCGCCCCTGCGCACACGCATACACTCCCGCCCACCTAGCGGAGCAGCCTTGTCTGTGGCTCCGCTGCCAAGGCCCCACGTCAGCATCCTCGTGACCCCTCCTGGTGGCTGGGGTGGGGGACCCAGCCACGGAGAAAGAGGGAATCCGAGGCAATGGGCAGGAGGAGACGGGCAACAGACAGGACAGTCAGAGAGGTGGCTGCCCGGCCGCAGGGAGTGCTCCCACTTCCGAGTGCAGACCCTACTTCCTGGGGTCTCGGCTCCTGGACAAGGGGCTGGTGCTGTCCGCAGGATGGGAGACTGCTCCTGGTGGCCACCAGGGAGCAGCCGGATGTGTCCTGGGCCGGGCTGGCCCCCTACCTCCCCAGGGCACCCGTCCTCATCCCCTGCCAGCCCCGGGGGACATGGGCATGGGGAAGTAGACCCACTCTGGGAAGATTTAAGACTGGGCGCTTCAGGCAGCAAAACCAAGGACCACGGCCCACACCAGGCGAACACCGACCACACCAGAGCAGGGCGGCCACATCCGGGCCGGGCTGCACGTCCCCAGCAGAACGCCAGACTGGACAGACCGGCCCAGGCGCGCACCGGGCCACTCCAGCCCCGGCATGGCCATGCCCCTGCGGACACTGGCTCTTCCCGGCCACTGTGCCAGAGCACCCACGTGCCTGGCCGGCCCACGACTCCAGAGGACCGAACACAAGTGGGCTCCGAGCTGTCCTGCAAGCGAGCCCGTGGACACGAGCCCAATGGACACTGCCCACACCAGCGGGTGTGGGCACAGGGACCGCAGTCTCCTCGCGGGCGGCGGTGGGTCCAGGAGAGCCCAGCGCGGGGAGGGGTCCCCCCGGAAAGTTCCCGCGCGGGGTCGGCGGAGGCAGGACGACGGGCGGGTGCGGGCACTTCCCCGCGGCCGCCCGCAGCAGCGCGGGTTGAGGGGCGAGTCCGCGCCGCCCCCTGCTGACCCGCCGTCCCGCGGCCTCCGCGCCCGCCGCAACTTCGGGCCCGGGCGCGACGGGTTCGGGCCGCGCTGGGGAACTGTTGCTCCCGCGGCCTCCGAGGCGGCCCCGGGCGACGAGCGCGCAGAGTGTACGCGAGGCCGGGCCGCGGGCCGCTCAGTGCGGTCAGCGCGCTGGCCCGCCGCGGCCCCTCTGCGTTACATAAGCCGGACGCCCCGTCCAGCGCCGCCGCCCGCGCCCCGCGCCCGCGCCCCCGCTCCCACCCCGGCCGAGGCCGCGGAGGCCCGTCGGACACTCGCGCCCGCGGCCCGCGTGGGGCGCGGGGCCGGACCCCCCCCCCCCGCCCCGGCCACCTGTGCGCGCCCGCCCGCCGCCCGTCGCCCGTGCGCACCTTGTACACATTCTCCGTGAGCCGGTGCATCTCCTCCGAGCGCGACAGCGACATGGTGCGGGTCCGGCGGGCGCGGGCGGGGGCGCGGGCGGGCGCGGCGGCGCGGCGGGCTCGGCGCGCGGGGTCCGGAGCAAGAGCGCGGGGCGCCGCCGGCCGCCGCCTTTATAGGCGCGCAGAGCCCCGCCCCCCTCAGGCCCCGCCCCCCGCCCCCGCCCCCACCGCGCCCGGATCGCCGCCCCCGGCCGCCCGCCCCCGCCCCGCGCCGCCGCTGCTAGGCAACCGGCAGGCCCCGCCCCCGCGCCGCCTTCCCATTGGCGGGTCCTGGAGCGGGGGGGGCTCGGGCGGGGGGCGGGGGCGGGGCCCGGGGCCCGGGACGCGCTCCCATTGGCCGGCGGCGCCGTCGGTCCGGCGGGAGGAGGCGGCGGCGCGGCGCGGGCCGGGGCCCTGGGAACAGCCTGAGGGGGCCGGGGCGACAGCCGGGCTGGGGGCGGGGAGCGGGGGTGGGGTGGCGCAGGAAGGAGGGAGCAGAAGGCGGGGGGCGCGGGGGGCGCCGGCGGCGCGCGGCGCGGTGGCGGCCGGGCCGAGCGCGCGGGGTAAGTCCCCTGGACGGCCCCTCGCGGGGAAGGGGGCCTCGGCGGGAGGGTCCGGGCCGGACCCCGGGAGGCGAGCCCGGAAGGGGGTCCCGGGGGTCCGGACTCGAGAACCCGGGCGGGGCTGCGGTGCGGGAAGGCGGGGTCCGGCCGGGAGGGGTCTGGCGGGACGGTTCCCTCCGGGAGTAGTCGCGGGGGTTCCCCGTGTCCAGCGCAGGGTATGATCGTCCCGCCCCAGCTGGTCGCTTCCGGCACGCAGACCCCCTGCCCCCGCCGTGACCTGAGAGCGGCCCGGTGTTGATTTGGGGGAGGGCGCTGGGGGTGGGTCAAACCCCACCCCACGTGCGGGGCCCCGCCACCTCCCCGCCCAGCCCCTGTTCCCAGCTTCCAGTCTGGCTTCAGGCAGTACCCAGGGGCGGGGGCCGATTCTCCAGCCACTGACCCACTGACCGTCTGGCCACGTGACAGGTCAGGTGCACGTCCCCTGGGGCCCGGCCAGCTGGACCCGCACACACTGCGTCCTGCAGGCCAGCGAAGCTCTGGCCCCGTGACCAGGCCCACGTGGGGCAGCTGGGGGTGGGGGAGGCAGCAAGCCCAGAGGAAGTTGTGCTGGAGGTGCTGGACCCGGTGACCAGCACAGGCTGGCAGGCAGGCTCAGCCTCCTCCCAATCGGGTCCGTCCCCCAGGCCCCACTCAGGACCGCGACTGCCCACTGTGGGGAGTGGCCGGAGGCCGGGGACACTCAGCCTGGCTTCCTGCCAGGTGCACTCAGAGTGGCCCCTGGGCTGATCCAGCGGGCAGCGGGTGGTACCATAGGTGAGAGCACAGGTGGGTGCAGTTGGTACAGGAGAGCCCAAGCCTCCCGCCCCTGAGGGTCCTCCATAACCCCAGCATGAAGCATGACGCGGCCCCCTCTAGGTAGGAGGGGCGACCCCACCCGTCCCTTCCCATGGCAACAGGGGTGGCTGGGGCGAGTGCCAGCCCCAAGAGGTCGTGCTGACGCTGAAGGTCACCAGCGGGCACCGGGCAGGGCTTGGGAGCAGGAGACGGGACCTAGCAACACCTTTTATTCCCGGGGTGCCAGACCCCACACCCGCCTGCCCCGGGCCTTCTCCCTGGGCTCAGCTGGGCACCATGCCCAGTCTGGGGTCCTGGCATCACTCTGAAGGCCTTCGGGGAGGACCTCCACCACCTTCCTTCCACCTGCTGGCCCTGACCGGAAGCAGGCCGGGCCCCTGGCTGTGTCTCCAAGCCCTGCTGCGGCCCTGCCCGCGAGAGCGGGCCGGGAAGCGCCACACACCCCTCGGCACGGCTTATTTTTAGGCCCGTTATGTAAGTGGCTCCGTCCCCACGTCACGTAGGGGGGGGTCTCGGATTTAATTACAGGATGACAGCCTCGCTCCTCCGGCAAGCTGCTTGCGGCAGGCAAGCGCGGGCCCCAGGCGTCTCTCCTCCCCGGGAGGGGCCACCCAGGGCTGTGCTCCCCGGCCCTGGGGAAATCTCCCTGCCCAGCGGGCCTGTCCTCCGCGCCCCCTCCTCCCTGCGGACCCCCGTCCCAGCACCCTGCCTTTGTCTGGGAGGGGAGCCCTTGGCAGCAGAGCCAGTGATCTCCAGAGCGGCAAGGTGTACACTCGGGCCTTCCTTGTCCGCCTCCCGTGTCTGCGAGTGAGTACTGGGAGCTGCTGTCCACACCCGCTTCGCCTCCGTGTGTGGGGTGGCCTCCAGGCTGAGCCTCGGCCCCCGGTGTGGCCTGTGCCACCGAGGCACAGGACAATGGGCATGCAGCAGCGCCCAGACTGGCGGTGGGCAGCAGGGCGCCATGGGACTGCCCCCTGGTCCCGCCATACACCACGTGGTCACGAGGAAACGATGGATGTGTGCCACGCGTGCCCCCCTGCCCAGTCCATGGTTCTGCCACGGCAGCTGAGGGTACACTGAGCCGCGTGCAGCTCCTTCTCGGGAGGGCCGTACCTGGACACCCCCGCCTGGCCTGGCCCTGGCCTGGAGTGGGGCCATCCCCTCCGAGCGTCCCCTGCTGGCCGCTTGCCCGCCACCCTGGCTGAGTGGGCTGAGTTCTCACACAGCACCGTGTTGACAGCGGGCAGGAGGTGACCATGAAGGCTGGAGCGGGAGCCTGGCGTGAGCCCCGTCACTGGACAGTGACCTGAGCACTAAGCTGGGAGTAGCCCTAAAACAACAGTTGGTCTGGACCGCTTCCCGTGAGAGGAAACCGGGAACTTGTCTGGCATAGGAGATGCTGGCTTGTGGGGAGAAGGGACCTGTGTCCACGGCTGTCGGGCCACTTTGGGGAGGGGGTGGCCACGGCCTCCTGCAGGCCAGTCCCTGGCGGATGGGGCGGCAGCAGGCCGGGAGGTGTCACCCGTCACCCAGCAACCGGCCCCTTACATAATCCTGGCGGGCGGCGTGACTGCGGGCGTGGGAGGCGCGTGCGGGCGGCACGGGGCACGGAGCGAACCTCGAGTGCTGCTCCCCCCGCTCGGCGTCATCCTGCGATGCCAGCGCGGTCACCCACTTGCTGCAGAAGGCTGAGTGACAGCGCAGACGCCATGCCTGCAGGTGAGGGCTGTGCCGGGACCCACCGCCGCGGAGTGAGGAGCAGCCCGGGGCGGCCACCGGACAGAGGGCCGAGGGACAGGCCCTGCCCGGGCCCTGCATGGCCGCGGGAAGCCCCCGCGCAGGTGCAGCGGCGGCTGCTTCTAATTCCAGCTGCAGCAGTGCCACGCGTCTCTATTCTGTGTTTATTTAAAGCCAGATTCTCAAATGTCGCCTCAGCCCTCACGTCTGACTGCCTCCTTGCCGCGGAGCTGAGCTGCGTGTAGGCGTCTGCCGGGCTTCCGAGGTGGGGGAGCTCCGGGGGAGGCCCGGCTGTCTGTGGGCATCAGCCCCCCGCGCCGCGCCCAGGAAAACACGGCAGAAGGGTCGCAGCGGAACCCCAGGGCAGGCTGGGGTGGCCGTGGACCCTGGCACTCTGTCCCGCGGGCCTGCTCCGAGGGGGCGCGGCTTTGAGAAAGTCAGTGACCAGCCTCCACCGTCAGTACAGGAGCCGCTGCCTGGGTTCCGGGACTGGCCGCATGAGGGCACTGTTGTGTGCTGGCCGGTGGCCGCCGGAGGACCCTGTGACCTTGCCTCTGACCAGCAGAGTGGGAGCCTGTGGCCCGCTCCCCTAACGGTGCCGCTCCTGGGTGGGCGGGTCAGCCCGCGGCTGGACACTTGGACTGCCCGGCAGGCTCAGCTGCTTTACAGGGCCTCGGCTGCCACCTGGTGGCAAGCTCAGGGAGCTGCACTGAGCAAGGCCTGGTGTGGGGACAGAAGTGGGCTGGGGGCCACATGCTGGTCCTGAGTCTACGCTATTAGCGGGGGCCGCAGCCAGGCTGGTCTCTGGGATGGTGGGCGCCTCTGAGCGTGCAGAAGTGGGGGGCAGCCGGCGGAGCTCTGTGCCTGCAGGTTACAGCGGGGGGCGGCAGCGCCTGCCAGGTCCCTTGGGGTGAGGAGGGTCTCTGGGGTTGGGCCAAGGCACCCAGCCTGGGTTCCTGACGCTGCCCCCAAGCAGAAGCCTGCCCCATTCTCACCAGCCACCTGGGGTCTGAGCCCCCACTCTTCTGTGGGGGCAGGAAGTCACCTCATAGCAGGGAGGGCTGCCCACGCAGGTGGGGTGGGGCAGGTCTTAGGGGGCTGGAGTGGCCGTGGGTGGCACCCAGCTCCAGCAGAAGCAATGGAGAAATGGTGGGTCTGGGCCCCCATCAGGACCCCCTGGGCAGGGCATGGAGTGCCCAGCAGGGGGCTCAGCCTGCATCTGGGAGCTGCCCCGGGATCTCCACTGCCCCACCGGTTCCCATACAGGTCTGCATGGTGGGGGCTGAGAACTTGGAGCCCATCAGGACCCTTTGCCTCCTGTGGCTGTGTGGGAAAGCGCCTTGCTCACTGAGACCCCATGGGCCCCCGAGTTGCCATAGGAACAGGAGCTGTTCCAGGGGTGCCCCACCGTTACCTTGTTCCCATCTGAGCAGGCAGAGGCCCTGAAGGGTCAGCAGGAGAGCTGGGGGCACGAGGCCATGGCCCCACCCAGTCATCTATCTGTGGTCAGCCCCATCACCTGTCCATCTGTGGGTGAACCCCAGGGCCCCGCACCTGTCTGTGGGTGTCCCCTAGGGCCTTGTGGCCTGTCTGAAGTAGGTGCCTATGACACATGGTGTTGGAGCCTGGTCGGGTACATTTGTGGCCTTAGTTAATGACCACGCGATTGTCCACTGAGACCCTTGGCTGTGCGTCTGCCTCCCGCTGGTCACCCCTGGGCAGGGTGGGTGTGCTCAGGCAGGCTGCCCGGCCCTTGACCATACTCTGGTCCTGGGCCGGACAGGATGAAGCACCGGCCTTCCCCCAGCTCACGTGGCCCGAGCGGTCTCTGAGACCCCTTTCGGGTTGGGGAGTTGGTGCTGGCTTGCACGCGAGCACAGAGATAGGAATCATCCCTGAGCACCACTGGGCGTGGCCCAAAGTTCCATTCGCCGTGTGAGCACTTTTGTCGTGTGCGGTGCTGGCGCGTCAGTACTCCTGCAACCCAGAGGTTCCATGGTGTTTTCTTATTTCTGTGACACTTGGGGTGTTCGGGGTGTCCAGGTAAAGGCCCTTTCCAGGTATTGCTGCACTAGGGGGCTGCGCTGCTTCGCCCGTGCCTCGGGCTGAGGGTCTTAACCTGTGTCCAGCCCTCCCCGTGCCGGCCTCTGCCTGCTGCTGGCTCCCCTCTCCTCGAGTGGGGCAGCTCTGCCAGGCGCCTCGCATCCTGGTTGTTCCGATGTAAACGGAAACTGCAGTTGGCCTGCAATGGGCCTGCTGACCTGGCCACCGCCCCGCTGGACACTTCGCCCTCACCCCTGCCTGCCCAACCACCAGGCGCAGGCCATGGGCACCAGCTTTAATGTGGGCCAAGGAGTTGCCAGCTGCGCCCTGCCCGTCCCTCATGGGCCAGTGGCCAAGGGCCCAGATGCAGGACGCACGGTGTCCAGGCGACCCTGGGCTTGGCAGAAGCCCCGGGCGCACCCACAGCTGTCCCGAGTCCCTGCTCCGTGTCACCGAGCTCGGCTGAGGCCAGTCCTGCAGCTGGGGAGCGGGCGGGAGCCCCCTCGCCTGCCTGGGGCGGGTTCCCGAGTCCTGATGTGGACAGTGGCGCTCCAGGGTGGCCCGCGGCAGCCTCCGGGCCCCGTGCCAGCACCAGCGTCTGGGGCCAGGAAGTCACGTCCGGCTGGAGCTGAACAGTCATCTGATCAGAAATGCAGGTGGACAGCAGCACCGGCTGCCTGCAAGCCCTGACAGCCACGCACACTCCTGGCCTGGGGGTCCTCGGTGCCCTGGGCGGCTGCTAGGAGGCTGCGACCAGCTCTGCCCGTCGGGGCGGGGTCTTGATGGAGACTTTCTCTGAGGGAAAAGGACACGGTGGTCAGAGGGGGCTCCAAGGGGCCGCTCCCATGGGATGAGGCCAGGAGGGGGACACGGGCAGGCCTGGGGGACAGACAGGAGGGACAGCGGGCGCTGGGACAGTGGGCCAGATAGTGGACACGGGGACAATGGGCTGCAGGCTGAGTGCACAAGGCCCCCCGAGGATGCCTGCTGGCTGGTACTATCTGACCAGCTGTCCAGCATGGGTGGAATGTGGCCCACTGGCAGGGCAGAGGTTAACTGGGGTCCGTACCAGTCCCCCGAGCCCCACCCACAGCCACAGTAGTCACCAGCATGGTCCCTGCGGGCTCTAGGAGCCACCGGCCTGGGCGCAGGGACAGGGCTGGGCAGTACCTGGGTGCGTCTCGGGAAGGGGCTCTGAAGGCACGTCGGGCAGCTCCAGGTGTTCCTGCAGGGGCAGAGGACAGGTGAGGTGAGCATGCGTGGGCAGAGGAAGGGGAAGCGGGCACGTGTGGAGTCCTGCTGGGCAGCAGACCTGCAAGTGACCGTCCAGCAACACTTGCGGGGGTGAGTCCCCACCTGGAGCTGGTCACAGACTGTCTACGGGGGTCCCCTCACCCCACTGGCCTGCGACAGGCCACTCCAGTGGTGGCCACACTCCTGGGGGACCCCCAAACCCTCCTTCCGGGGTTCTCCCTATTGCCCAGCAAGGGGTCATGATGACAGAGCCTGTGAGCTGGGCCGCAGCACCCGCCCCTGTGCACTCAGCCCTCCTTGGGGACCCTCAGCATCTGGACCCCAACACTGGCTGTGCTCCTGCCTGAGTGATGGCGCGAAGCTCCTCCAGGACGGCGTCCTCGTCCTCCTGGGTCAGGCTGCCGGCCAGCAGCTCATCGATTTGCTGTGCAGGGAGGAGCCAAGGTGAGGGTGGGCGGGGGCTGCAGGAAGGGGCAGCTGGGCCAAGGCCCCCACTGCATGACGGATGGCCTGGGGCCCACACCCCGCTGAGCGGCCCCTGCCATGGACAGCCCCGGCCCACACCCTGCTGGGTCCCCACCCCGCTGGGCCCCCTCGCCATGGACAGCCCTGGCCCACACCCCGCTGGGCCCCCTCTGCCATGGACAGCCCGGGCCCACACCCTGCTGGGCCCCTCCAGACGGCCAGGGACCCTCACATACTCGCTGGTACTCCACGGCCTCCTGGGTCTCATCCAGAATTCGCTCCACTTCCTCCATGGACATAACCTGGTGGGGGCGGGGCACGGCTGGGCTCACAGAGCCATCTCCACAGGGGCTCCTGCCTCCAGACCAGGCCCTGGGCTGCCCCACCCGCACCCGCCTCCAGAGCAGGGTGCCAACCTCTCCGGGTAGGGGTGTGCTCGAGGGGCCTGGGCGCCTGCATCCCCACACGCACCCGGGATGTGACTCCTCCCAGAGGGGCAGCCGCGTGTGTGCACTGCTTTCTGTTCGTGTCCTGCTCTTGGTCCAGTGGCCAGGGGCTCGCCCAATCCCTGTACCTATCACTGGGCCCTCCCCTGCTCCCCAAGACCTCCGAGGGCGCACCTGGTGCATCTTCTTCAGACACTCATTTCCGAACTGCAGCCCCTGCAGCACCTTCATCTCGATCTGGGTGAACTCGATGCTCTGCACCTGGGTGGCGCAGACAGACCTGAGGCCTGGCCCACTGTGCGCCCCGCCCACCCGCGAGACCCCGCCTCTCGTCTAGCCCCGCCCACCTGTGAGGTCACAGCCCTCCAAGAACCCCGTCTGCAGCGTGCCCCACCCCTGCGGGCCACGGCCACCCGTGGGATCACGCCCCCCCACGAGCCCGCCCCCTAGGGGCCCCGCCCACCAGTGGGGTCACGCCCCTCCACGAACCTCACCCACGAGACCCCGCCCCACCTATCTAAGGCCACGCCCCCAGCCCCGCCCCCGCGGCCTGGTCTCTACCATGGTCTCCAGGCTGGCGATCTGCTGCTCCGTCTTGTCCAGCAGCTGCTCTTGGTAGCGCTTCTTCTTGAGAAGCAGCTTGGCCCGCCTGGGGGCGGGGCAGACAGTGAGCTCGGGAGTGGCCGTGGGCCCTGCCGCCGCGTCCCCCCAGCCCCGCACTCACTCCTTCCTGCCGTCGCGCAGCAGCTGCCGGGCCACCTCGCGCTCCCGCTCCAGCTGCTGCGACACGCGCTTCTGGTACTGCCGCAGCTTGTCGCGCTGCTGCTTCAGTTGCTGCGGAGACACGAGTGTCCAGCGGCTGCGCCCAGCGCCGGGGACGCACCGGCTGCGTCTCGCACAGCGCTGGGCGGCCGCGTCCCCCGCCCCCCGCGCCCCGGGTTCGGCGTGGGCTCCGGGACTCCGTGTTGGCCTCCTCGTGTGGCCGTGACCTCCACGGCAGGTGCGAGCCCCAGCTCCCACGAGAAAGGCCCTGGGAAGGTACCCCCAGGTGAGTCCTGCGGGATGCGCGGGGCTTCCTGCGCTGGCTGAGGGCAGGCACGGACGGGGCATGGACACCTGTGCGGGCACACACGGGCGGGCACACCTGCCTGCATGGGGCACTGTGTCAGGGACGCGTGTGTGGGCACCGAGCGGGCACACCTGGGCAAGGTCCACCTGTGGGGAAGCGCCGGTGGCGCGGCCGCTGCGGGAACCCGAGCGAGGGCCTTGCTGGGCCCCGGGGTCCGTCGCGCTCGGGGTCCCGGCGAGGCCGAGCGGAGGGTCGAGCCGCCCGCGCTCAAACCGGCGCCAACAGGCGCGCGGCGCAGCACCTGGGAGCCGGGTCGGGGTCTCCCGCCCCGGACAGCGCCCACCTCCCGGGAGCCGGGGCCCCCGGCGGCCGCGCCCGTGCCCCCGGGTCCACGGGCGGCAGGCGGCCAGCGCCGACCCACGGCCCGAGCCGGACACGGTAGCGCGAGGGCAGCGCAGGCGCGGGCGCCCCTCGGCCCGGTCCCGCCCCCCGCCGATCCCGCTCTCCTCACCAGGATGGCCTTGTCCTGCTCGGTGACCCGGCTCTGCTTCTTGCGGCCGAACAGGTTGCCCATGGCGGAGCCGGCCCCGCGCCCCGGCCCGCCGAGCCCAGTCTCCGCCGCCCTTCGCGGCCGCCGTAGCCCCGCCCCCGCAGCCCGGCCCGTCGCGGCCGCCGTAGCCTGGCCCCGCCCCTTCCCCGTAAGTCCCGCCCCCTTCGACGGCGGCCGCAGCAAGCCAAGCTCTGTTGAGCGCGAATCGTCGCTCGTCCCGCGTCCCGCGTCCCGCGTCCCGCTCCGGGTCGCTGAGCAGCCGGGGAGCGGGTGGGGTCCGAGCGTCCGGCGAGTGTTTCTCGCTCGTCTCCGGAGGCCGCCGAGTCCCGCCTCTCTCGGGCCAGCCTGGCCCGCTGACCACCCAGGCACCGGTCACCCGCACGGCGCTGCCTTTGCCTGCCCGCCGAGGACGCCCCCCGCCCGCAGGCCTCCGCCGCTGCCCCTGGGCCAGGCGGGATGAGCCGGCGACCCCCAGCGGCCCCGGGTTCGGCAGGCCCACAGGACACGCCGCGGTGAGGGGGGAGGGACTGGCGGGAGGTGGCGTCCAGTGCGGGGACCCCGAGGTGACGGCACACCACCGGCCACCCCACTCGTCCCCGCCACCCGTGTCCCCCCGTGTGTCCACCTCTACCTGTGTCATATACCATCTATATAGGGCCACCTCCGCCTTACCCATCCCCACCTGTGTCCACCCCACCCGTGACCCGCCCCCCTCTTCCGTCCGCATCATCCCTCATCTATGCCCGGGGGACAGAAGCAGGATTGGCCCAGCGTGGGGTGGGTCCTCGCCTCCTTTGCTGCCCTGTCCAGGGGAGGCCCCGAGCGAGCCTTTCCCCCGAGCTCTGCCCTGTCCTGCTCAGGCCCGTGTCCTGGCTGGGCTCTGGCAGGGAGACCCCAGCGGGGCCAGGCTGGGGCTCAGGCGCTGTTTCGACAGGGTCAGCGGGCGTGTTGGGGTGACGGGAGTAGCAGGGGGCAGCTGAGCTCACGGAACGTTCTGGAATGAAGCTACAATATTCAGGGGCCTCCCCTGGGGTGGATGTGAGTCCAGAACCTGGAGTGGAAGGTCAGGGGGAGCCCACAGGTGCCTGGAGGTCGGGCACAGGGGGCCGCTCGGAGAGGGCTGGGCGGGCAATGGTGGGCGTCGGGAAAGGCTACGCAGGGGGCCGGGTGGGCGCTGGCGGACCGGATGGTCCCGCCTGCAGGGCGCCGTACCGGCGGGGAGGTGGCGCTGCGGGACGACGGGTGCGGGAGCCTCCGCCCCGCCCCCTCCCGTGCCCAGAGCCCGGAAGCCCACAGGGCGGGTCACTCTGGGCCGGAGGGACCACTTTGGGGTAAGGGGCAGGAGATCCCCGGGGCCTGGGTCTGGTGATGACTTGGTTGGGGGCCACATTGGCAGTGCCGGGCACCTGCGGCGCCGTCCTTTGAGCTTGGGGGGGCCCAGGTGGTGCTGGGGATGTCCCTGCGCTGGCCACAGAAGGGCCGAGGGAGCACCAGCCCATGCCCGGGGCAGCCTTTGAGAGCCGCCTTGTGCCGCTCTGTGGGGAGGCATGAGGGGAGGCTATAAGCTGGGGGTACAGAACTCCCCCTCTCCGCTCTAGCCTGCGCTTGTTAGGGGACACATGTGGCTGCCCTCTGTCCCTGTGCCTCCTCCCGGGCATCTCTCAGCCTGAGCTTTGTTCTGGGGGGGCTCAGGCCACCCCCGCAGTGCTCCCAAGTCACTGAGGGCTCTGTGCTGGCGTTACTCCGCCCCCTGGGCGCGGACATGGTGTGGGAAGGGGCCCTGCTTGCATGGGGACTACCCTGCAGCGTTCTGGGAGCCGAGTCTGTTCTCTGCTGCCAGGACAGCTGGTTCTGAGACAAGGGAAGGTGCATCCCCACTGCCTGGCATTTTGGCAAGTGTCGGTGCGACCTTGGACTGGGGCCCCAGAGGCAGCTTCCTGCACTCACAGCTGGGGGCAAGCGGGCTGGGGTCATGTTGTCCTTGTGGGTCCCACTAGGCTTCTGCTTCAGGGACGCGGGGGCAGCCTGCTCAGGGGACCAGGAGCCGGAGGGAAGGTGGAGACATGGAGACGCATTGGGGTCTCGACAGAAGATCCCACGGGCTCTGGGCCAGACACTTGCCGACCATGGGCCGGAACATTCTCCACTTCCCACTGCAGACAGGAGACAAGGCTGCAGGAAACAGGATGGATCTGACAGTCACGCTCAGTTTCCACGGTGACAGCCCCGGCCCTGGTCCCTACAGAGACCCCTCTTGGCCCAGGACCTCTGGGCAATTATGGGCTGGGGGGGGCCTTGTGCGTTGGCTGTGGGCGGAGGGGCAGAACTAGGCCCCCAAGCAGCTGTTGGGTGGGGCCCCCCTGGGTAAGTGTGGTGGGGGCTGCCAGGGGGCCCAGAGGCTGCAGCTCCTAGATGCTGGGCTCGGGGCCTCCCACAGCTGGGCTGTTCTAGTGCAGCTTTGCTTGCGGTGAGGCCCCATTTCTCCCACCTGCAGGGCCCCTCGGGCAGCCTGCACAGCCGGGGGGCCGCTCCTGATGACCGAGGCACGGCCCTGGCACGTCACTGCCCTGTCCCCACTGCAGGCCATGCCCAGAGTACGGGCCGGGCCCTGCCCTGCACACTCCCCTGGACACACGTTCCTCTCCCCCCCTCCCCGGACCCCAAGGGTAGCAAAGGTTCTGTCTTGGGGTTCTTGGGTTTCTCCTTTATTAACAATTCCCTGTTGGTGCCGCTCGGCTCTCGCTTTTGCACGGCGGTTCCGTGTCTTGTCAGTCTCTTTCATTCTCATTGTGGTAAAATAAATAGAGATAATGAGCTTTTAGGTCGTTCACTTCATGATTGGATTTTCACACGGGTCACGCTCTCTCCAGGGTGGCCTGCACGTGGCCCGACTGGCAGAACCAAACAAGCTCAGAATCCGAACTTGAACCCCCGGGAGTCAGCTCACAGGAGATCAGACTAGGACCAGCTTCTGGACGGTTCTGTGGTCGCTGGAGAGCTGTGACGAGCTAACGGACCAGTGACAGGGGTGCGGCTTGGCCGTGCTGAGGTCGGGGGCGGCTGGCAGGGGCCGGGTCAGGCTCGGCCAGCGCTGCCCACCGCTCCCCAGCGGTCCCAGTTCCCGAGGACGGGGAGGAAAGCGTTTCAGAACATCATTGCGGCCCGTCTCCCGCTCCGGCACCTCCTGGGGTCCTTCTGGGCTCACTGCCCCACTTGCCTGCAGCCCCCATCCGAGGAGGAGCCCGGGGCCGCAGCCTCACGCATGCGGGGCGTGGGGTGCAGGCAGGAGTCGCGGCTACGTGCGTGGGCCCTGCGTGCAGGAACTAGCGGGCCAGGTGGCCAGCCCGCACCTGCCCGGCCAGTGTCCCTCTGTGAGGCAGTATGTACCCCCTCCACGCGGCCCCGGCTTCCTCTCCGGTCTTTTGGCCTGGCTGGCTGGGGAACACCGACGCCCCGAGAGCGGGGCCCCCATGGTAGAGCCGCGTCCGGTGCTCGACCCGCGTGGCTGAGGGGGCGGGTACGGCTAGCTGAGCTTTGCCCCTTCAGAACTGGTGCCTGGGGGAGACCCACATACCCTGAGGTCTCTGCCACTCCGAGTCCCTTTCCGGCTCCCTGGTGTGACGCGAGGACAGATGGACGGACAACGGACGGCGGGTCAACAAGGGTGGAGCTGGCGCCGGGCACTACCGGCCGCGCTTCTCGACCGAGTACACGGAGATGTAGTAGTCGTTGCTGCCTACGGCCAGGTGCGGCTGCGGAGAGCGTGGGAGTAAGGGGCGGCCCCACCGGCTCCTGGGCCCAGCCCCCCGCCCCAGGTGCCGGGACAGACCCAGTAGGGGTGGAAGGCCAGGCAGCTGATGGCGCCCACGCGCTGGCCCATGAAGCCATCGTAGTACTTGATGTGGTTGACGAGCTCCCCGCTGGCGCTGTAGATGGCGGTGAACTGGTTCACGGAGCCGCTGTGAGAGAGGCGGGCTCAGGGGATGCTCAGGCAGGGCCCCCGGTGCCCAGTCAGGCCAGTGCCTGGGGCGGCCCCTACCATGCGATCAGGTTGGCCTGCGGGTGGATGTCCAGTGCTGTGAGCCCCTTCACGATCTGCAGGACGTTCACCGACTCAGGCATCCGGGGATCAAAGAAACGCACGTCCCCGTTGACGCTGCGAGAAGCGTAGGATGAGACCTCTGGGGAGGGGGGATTGGGGGTCTGGGGTGGGGGGGCGGGACATGCAGGCATGGGGCTGGGGGCTGGGGGACCCGGGCCGGGCCAGCTCCCTCACCTGACGCTGACGATGTGGCCCTCAGGGCGCTTCTGCAGCTGCGCCTTCACCACCCAGGCCGTGTGCTCCCGGTATGTCATGACGCGGCTGTGAACACACGCCCCGAGCTCGTCCCGACTCCCCCAGGCCCGGCCCTGTGGGTCTCTCTGGTGCCAACCTCCCTGGGCTGCCTTTAACAGCAGCAGGGGCGGGGGGGGGGGGGCAGCGCTGGCCTCGCACATGGTTGTCCCCGGTTCGACCCCCAGAACCCCACAGGGTCCCCAAACCCCACCAGGAGTGACCCAAGTGTAGGGCAAACAGTAGTTTAGGATGGAGAGACGCTCAGTGGGGGGCGCTGGACCGGGCACCGCCAGAGCCCCCAGCCCCGTGCTGACTGCTGCCACCTGCAGAGCCAGGCCCGAGCCTGTCCATCTCCCAGAAGATGCTGACCAGGTCCCCCCGCCAGGGCTGGGCTGGCGGGCGTGTCCGCCTTCGCCTGCCCTGGTGCTGCCCGGGGCGTCCTGCCCCCTGGAGCTGGCCAGCGGGCCTAGCCCATTTCCTGCCGCCGCGGTTTCGGGGGCTTTGGGAGCCCAGTGGAGGCAGGGCAACCCATGACGGGCCCCCATGTGGTCATACCACTCGCTCAGCGCCATCCTCCGGTCATACACGCGGATGGAGCCGTCACCCAGGCCGGCCACAATGAGGGAGCGGTGGGAGTCGCAAGACAGGCTGGTCACACAGCTGTCGGCACCCGTGGGGATGTCCTGGGCCAGGGCAGGGACGGGCCGTCACCCGGTAGCACGAGCCAGGAGCTGGCGCAGCACACTGTGCGCATGGGCCC